GTACAGGTAAATATGTTATGTTATATATTATACCACTGGCGGACACCCTACTTGAAAAAATCCTGATTGTGCCACTGGTTGCATAATTTCAAATTATTCAGAAAATATACATGTATACATACAATATTGTAAAACAATTTATATAAATTTATATATATATATATAATTTATATAAACATGATGTATAATTGGAATCATATAATTGACTCAATATTTTTTCGAAATAATAATACAGCCATAAATTAAATTAGTTGATAAAAAAATACTCACTTGTAGGGAGCTAATCTTATCTACAGTTCCACCTTATTTACATTTATGCTCTACCTTTTATTTTTTTAAATTTTACAGTGTACAGAATAAACATCCGTGTGTTTTGTAGACTAGTGTGAAGCATATACAATGTACAATTTATACAAAACTACATACGTATGTATATTATACATACGTATGTAGTTTTGTATAAAACGTTGTTATGATTATGTGTATTTGAGAGATGACTTGAGAGTGTTAAATCAATACATTTTTTTGTTTTTATACTTCATGTAATAATGTATAGACTCGTCAATATCCGACGATTTTATTACATTTTTATTTCTAGTTCTTAAGCCCGTAAAAGTAACATTTATCAAAATACGTAATGTAACAAGCGTTATTTAAGGTGTGTCACAATTCGTAGTTTTGCTTTTATGTGTTCCGGAAACTATGTACGTCCTTTATAAAACGTGGGAATTGGATGTAGGGTCCGGTTAAAAAAAAATCTATACGTCTTTGATATAGAACAGGAAGTAAATACTTTTATTTTCAAGCTGACATTTTAACGGGAACTTCGAGGTACTGATTTTGATTGATTATTATTTTATCAATTACAATATTTTTAACAATATGATGTATATATATTTAATAATGGTATAAATATAAAAAAAAAATCTTCATAATATCCTGTTACTATATACGTATACAAAAGTTGTCGAGGTAACTATACGTGACGAATCGTCCTGTCGACATTTTTTGCGTTTTCTAAAACCGTATAATAGTCTCAATACCTCTCCGAAAACGTAGTTTCATCGAAGTCATTTGTATACGTATTATACAAACTGGTACCTCCATGTATAGTATGTATATTATATATCAAAGCAGGCGCCTGCGTTCTATTCTAGTTGATTTTATCGCTCCGACAAATTTATCGTTTTTTATTATTTTTCACATAAAAATTAAAATGTTTTAATATCATATACTTTCACACGATAGCATCACACTTTAGGTATTCGTGATCATTGCATACATACATTTTATACATTTTAACACCTCTAATAAGTAATCATTGTGCGCACCCTGTAGATATCGCCGTAGAAAGACGATGTGTACACATATGTTTGTCACATAATATATAATGCAATATTTATATAATTATCGTTAACAATAATGATGATGACGTTACATGGTAATAATATTATTATAGGTACATTTACCCACTTATACCGTCTCTGAACATACACAAGCCGATCACAACTGGGCCTATAGTGAATGCATGTCGTCATTAATAGTATGACGCGTGTTTCCGACAATAATCATTTTTCGCCTCGGAGGCGGTAAACGATCAAAGAATGTTTATTACACATAACGTCGACGTGACAAATCTGGACGGGACTTTTAGTATCATAATACATTTCTTGTTTTTCTGTTTTTTATTCGTTTTTTTTTTTTCGTTAGCCCTCTTCGAGAATTCACATGACTGAAAATTGTACGCGTATAACTGTATATAAATCAGTTGATATACTGTACATAATTTACTTACATAGACACATTTAAAACTACGTCGTTATGATAATATTTTACTTTCTTTAAGTGCTTATGTGTGACATCTATATAAATATTAACAACAAAATAATAATAATAATAATAAAATACTAATTAAAGACACAAAAATATTTATATATTTTTTTAAAACAAAATCGTTTATGTTTTTCATTATGAAATCACAATCAACAATATACTATTTTATAATATTACATGTATATGATATCTATGATATAAATAAACATTAATACATTTTTCTGTTTGATTTTAGAACTTTTAAAGGCGTGAACGATAAATATATTTATATTATACAACAAATAATTAATATTAATTTAGAATAAATACGTTTTAAATTATTTAAAAAAAAAACATATATTTATCCATTAAAAATGTGAAGTAAGACATCTCTACACTATAGTGTATTCTCTACTGCAAATAAAGAGCTAATACAAATATTTTACATCCATATATCTATATATATAAACAATATCTCACGAATATAATAAATAATATAATAGGTATATTTAATTCTATAAAATTGTTCAAGTATACAATTAAGTCACTAAGAATGAAACCATAACTAAGAAATAAAACATAATATATTAGTAAATCAATGAATTAAAGACGTATCTGGTCTATGAATAGCTCTAATTTAAATAATTAATAATATATTATAATATTTATACTTGTATATTAAAATTTTTTATAATCTAAGCGAGTTGATTTCATATAATGTTATAATTATTATAACTGTTCTTAGTCTATTAATTATTTATGCAATTTGAATAGAACTGAAAAATTAAAATCTATTAATTTTAGTTTAAGGTAATATTGAAATTAAAACAAATGATTAAAATCTTTTTTGTGTAAATTATTTTTATAGCACCTTATGAGTTGTAAACTCCATTTATATTTATAAAAGAAAAAAACCGTTTGTGCTTTCAGTTACATATATATATATATATATATAGTATGAACAATTGCTATACGTTAATAAGATTTATGATAAAAAAAATATACAATTTTACATTATAACAATGTAGGTTGGTTAAACTATTTCCTTTTAATTACGTACTACAGCGTTTTACATAAAGTAATCTACGTATAGGTATTTTAAATTTCTATTACCCTCTCTCTAAATTCAGTAACATTTTATATTTACCTAGTATTATTTCTTAGATACCTATTAATTTTAAATTCGAAAAATCGAAAAACTTTATAAATGACTATTCACCACAATATGATATTATTATACACTTTTTTGTGACGCGTTACTTCAAAAAAAAAAAAAATTATTTATTCATTGACGTTACACGATCCCTACTCAATAGTTTAATAGAACGACATTCAGGTGTATTCCAAACATTGTATTATTTATTTAACACCGATCACTGATAAAATATATTGCTGTGATGACACATGCGTCCGCGTGTACACACATATAACGCACGCACGCGCGCACACACACGCACACACACACACACAGGCACACACCTCGTGAACGCAGACACTTTTACAAACACGCTCTGTAAAATACGCATTGTACGAGTACAAAGCGTATTGTAAACAGTGTACCTTTCTGTATATACATATGTATTGATATATAATGTACGATGTTCGAAGGTACAAATGTTTTCGTATGATATCGCGTCGAATCATTGTATTAAAACGAAAATCACTAATTTAAACAAACAAACAAATAATAATAACAACACAATTGATATTCAAATAAAAGTGCCACACGTCGGCGTTGGAACGTAAGCGTATATATATATATATATGTGTGTGTACACAGCTGATATTTGTTACCGATCGTTGTAATCGTCCACGTAAACGATACCGATGGAAAAACGAACGATTCCGAAATACTATAATGGTCCCAACGGCCCATCGGAGTTCACCGTAAGTCTTCGCGACCACGATTTCCGTGGCACGAAACAAACAGTCTTACAACGTGCGCAGCAGACGTGCGCGCGCACGCACCGGTGTTGATAATTGTATTTATCGGAACGAAATACGAATACACGGATCCTGGACAGGTCCGACGGGAGAGACGGTTCGACGACGCGGCCGCCGCGGTCTAATAATGATACGCTCGCGTACCCGTGTGTACACCGTGCACATGGTGTCCACGCTGGCGCGTCATAAAATCACGTACCACGGTCCCACCTGACCAGCGACTATTCAATACGATGTATACACCTCCTGTGCAGTTTCGCTGGGCTCATAGGTGTCTTGGACGTGAGATTTCCCATAGGTTTGTTTACCCCGGGGACTCGCGTGCACGTAATAGGCATGCCGCGTGTACGCCGCGCGTGGGAGTTTAGCCATTAGCGAATATTCCGGACCGGCATGGGTGTACGCGATGCGCGCATAATGTAACCATTCATCTCGGGACGAAATCAAATGTTACACGCGCGCGCAGGTCTTAGGTATTCCGATGATTTATCATGCCTTTTCGGGCGACGCGAAATCATTGTTTTTTTTCTTTTTCTTCTAATCTTTCATCGCGCGTACCCACACGTAAATAATACGTATTATGCAAGCGCGCGCGTTTATATTATACACGTTAAATATAATAACGATAAACGTTTTTTTTTAACAGCGACGTTATTAAATAACGAATAAAAACAAATTTTCATTCGGTTCATTCCGCTCTACGTATTACAATATCACTCGTACGACGTACCCCTGAACGCCAGGTAGGACCGGGTATCGTGGGGCTCGGAGAGGGGGGGGTGAACCGGACCTATTACTATTAAGTTTTGATTAATAAATATTTTCAGTCAATTGTGCCGAGTTCATCCGTATTCGGATGTTCTTATAGTAAATTGTTGGTGTTCTACCGTTATATTTTAATATTACGTGTTGTATACGACACTATCGAGGGCCCAGGAGGCGATCGCCTGTTTGCCTCCCTGGCCAGTCCGCCCTGCCTGCATGGATCTGCGATGAAAACAAATAAGAGAACGTCGACGGCAATATTATTATAACATAAAATATCGATAATAATGCGTAGGTGGTATTATAATAGCGATGCACCAGTGAGTCAAAATGCCATGGTCAAAAGGGGAAAAATGTTGACAGAACTACGTCGAATACAAGTGTCGGACCATATAAATCACGGAGGTCTATATCACTATAGTATCACGAGCGTGCGAATGCGAATAACAGTGATTTCTACTTAATTTTTTTCTATATTCTCATGTTCAATGGCTTTTGATCGATCGTGTTTTGGATATCGACACGTGCCTATGTTATACGAGTTGGTGTGCGCGTCCGTTTGGTTTTTGTTTAATTCCGTACGAGGAGCATTACGGTACTACGGTACCTACATATTATATTAGACGGATGACATTTTGTGATAAATTACATTTCGACGAAAAAAAATAATAATAGTACACAGACGTATGTACACGTACACCTATATGTAAACGTTCTTTTCATTTAAGATAAAATATTTGCTTGGAAAAAAAATAATCCCCGTTATTATTGTTGCAGACAATCACATCCGTACAGACGCGAGTAAACATAAATTTATTTTTTAACGCACGTTTATTTTTTTGCCCGAAATATTTTACGACCGCGATTTCGAACCCGTGTGTATTGATCGGTGACGGTGTACCATTATTATGCGCGGCGCGCGCGCGCGTGTGTGCGCGCGTGTATATAAATACGAGTGTATACACATGTATAACATGCGGTATTCCGATATCCATGGTAAAACACGGAAGAAAAATTACCCTGGTAATAATATCGTGTTCCTTTCAGACCCTTTGGGTACCGTGTCCGCGGGAGGTGGCTAATGGTGTTTGCTTTGATCCTGTCCAATATAATCGTTCCGTACCTGCAGGTTTTGACAATGTACTACAATGCGTGTGACCCGATCGCGTGTGCGCATACGTACGGATAGGTACACGTATTGTGTACGAAGATAAATACATTTACGTACACGTGGACGTGCGGAGCATTTGTACTCCGATTTCGACAGACGACCGCGTCACTGCGCTTAATAGTTGTTTACGGCCCGGACAAGTACCATCACGCACGCAGCGGTTTCAATATGGGATATCGGACGGCCTCGTCGACACGATACGCCGTGGCGATATGATATAATTAAATAGCATACGAAATATGGTCGTAAAATACGCGTTCGAGTGCGCGGAAGATAGGTGTGGGGGCACACGGTCAGAGCCGGATAAAAATCTTAGCCGGTCGGGATGCAACTACTCTGACCCGGGGACTTTCCGTCGAAAACGAATCGATTTATGTCATCTATCGGATGTTCGTAGTCGTAGAAGTTTACATTTTGCCCGGATTTTCTACGGCCAAGAATAACCGAGTGCGGATGTATAAATACGTTTTCGAATTGAAAATACTTAATTTTCTTGAATCATTATTCAATACTTGATGGTAAAATGTTTTTATTTAATCGTAATGTACTATTTTATGCCGTTAAACAAATCTAACACCTGCGCATTGCACCTTCGATAAATCCGGTATTGTACACGGAAATAAGATTAATGGCTGCAGTCGGACGAAATGTAATGTGTTAAATGTTTGAAAACGATTTAAAATTTCGGACGTGGGGCCATTGGAACATGATGCAAACGGAATCAACAGATAAATGTTGAAGTGCCTTATTGACAATTTTTTACAAAAAAGAACGTTACCCTTTTTCAATGTCTACTTACACTTATAACGATATAATTAATTAAAACGTATACTTATATAGAGCATTGTATAATAATCTTACGAATAGCGTTAAAAATAACCCAAAACCCTAATACCTACCTGAAATTTGTTAATTGCGAATAATATGATAATTACCGGTTACTTAAATTATTATATTCAGTTAATTGTTGCAAAAAATAACGGGAACATTTTTAAAGTTTCAATATAATTTTATTGTGTTGGAATGTTAAAAAAAAAAATGATCACTGCACACAGAAATAATATTTGAAATGAATAGTTCAATCCGTTACGTATTGGCTTCAGCCGCATTAATTTTTGAGCGATTGGGCTTGTAAAAATATTGAAATTTTATCACTTATAGACTCAGTAGTGACACTAGAGCTATTGATACCCTGCAGATGGGTGACAGTTTTTTTTTATATTAGGGAAGCAATTCGTTTTTATTATTTACTTATACCCAGGGTAGGCATTTTATGCGCTCTTTCATCTAACTAACATAAAACATCGTACTTAAATAATATTAATCTAGAACATATAAAAATATAAATTTTGCTTATGTAACTTAAATAGTACTTTTTTTTATAATTAAGCAATGACTGACTGCAGTGGGTTAATTATGATGTAGATACATTTTAGGTCAGGTTCGGGTGCCGTTTCAGCGTAGATTGAGTTAGACTCTATTACAATATTACAGTTAATTCGAGAAGAAACGAACTATGAGAACAAATGTAGGTAAAATTGAATGTGTATGTATATAGCATTTGTTTATGTTATCATTATACATTTTCAGCACCAACAAATCAAATATACATCAACTAAGCAAAACATATATAAACTATGACCATCTAATAAAAATTAATTATTTACACAAGAAAGTTAACATGGAAAACGTTTATAAATAAATCTTAAACATCAATAAAATAACTAAACTCAACGTATAATAATGAATAGACTTTACGACTAGGCACTCGTGCTGAACAACACAATCAAAATTATTTTAAAGTGAGGCACTTGAATTGGACTCAGATGATTGAATAATGATTAATTAGTATTATTTTAATGCATAATAATATTATATTATGCGAGTTATATTAATATTATTATAGTTTTAAACGTTTAGGAAGTAAAAATATTTTAGACAAAATTACTATCTTCTTCGTGGTAGGATATAGGGCGGCCTTGTTGTTCTCGGACAAGTAATTGGTGGGCAGCAGAATCCATTTCCTCTCTAGTCATATTTAACGCTTCGCGCAATTCTTTGGATGTATTCTTGACAAAAACTGGATCACAGTACTTCCCCAGGCCTTGTTCCGCTAATATCTACATAAAAAACGAAGTAATAACTATTGCGTGGTGATATTCGTGATTACTTAATAGTAAAAGTAAATATATAGACGTATATTAACTTTAAAATTTGCAACCAAACAAACTATCATTTTTAACAAATTGAGTATTAATGAAATGAGAATAATAAATTTAATAATTTTACAAATCCTATGGCTTGATTTTAAAATCCGACACAAATTATTTTAAGTACTTTATGAACGTATTAATGCTATTTAAATTGTACGCCAGACCGATATTTATGTTACTGTTATTGCAAATCATTTAGTTTTGTAACTTTTTAAGTTACTGTTGACTTAATATAGATATAATAATATTAAGAATAATATAAATAATTAATAAGCAATTAAAAATGTAAATACCCTTCCAACGAGGCTTTCTGCAGATCCAATCACTTCGCCTGTATTCAGTCTATCATCTACGGGACTTCCAGGTACAGAATGTGATAACCTGGTTAACGGAATGGCTCCGTTCATTTCGTCTTTACTACCTGTAAGCAATCAATGTAAATTTTCTTGCAGAATTTAATTAAAATCAATATGTACAAATTAAATAGTCTTTAAAAAAAAAAAAAAAAAAACTTTAAAGGATAAAATTCAATCGATTTTTAAGTTAACAAATGAAATGTAAATTAAAAGTTACAGTAAAAAAAAAAAAATAAAAATGTTGAATGGATTACATGAACATCTGAGAAATAAATAATCACGAAAAATTCTCAGTGTTCAGAATTTTGGAACATAAATACACACATGACTGTTGTAATTTTAGTATACAATTAAGTGTACAGATTTTTCTAGAAAAACTAACGAAAGTTTTAAATTTAAATTTTTTTTAAAAGTAATTTACATTTGTATCATATTATATATATTTATTTTTTTTTTTATAAAATAAAATATTATATTTTACAGTTTAGGTTAAACATAATATATACAATAAAGCTTTACTTAGCATCGATAAAATATATTATTATCAGTATTATACCTTTGAAATGAAATGAAGCGCGTTGTAAAATATGCATAGTTCGATGGTTATTATGGCTGTATAGTAATTTAGCAGCACTGCGGTTGTGCACGGGCCAGTATACAATATCTTCATCTAAGTTCGATATGTTATCATCAGTGTCGAGGCTTCTGTTTAGCCAATCGTAATGGGAGTATCCACTAATGGTAGCGTTTCAAATAAAAGCAACAACAACAACAATAACAACAACAACGATATAAATATGTTAGCATTACATGCATAATTATCATTACAATATGTTATGTTTGATTAATAGTTATATTTTGTTTTGTTTTATTAAAATATCGCGTTCACATCAAAATTAATTTTATTACTATTATGTACAGTACTAAAACAATGATAATCATTATAATGTAATATCACTAGTGTTCAAGCTTAGGCCGATACCTACTTAGAACGCATAATTAGTTGTAACGCACTGCAAGCTTATATTACCCTACGGTATCGGAGCGCTTGTCTACTATATAAAAAATAAATACTTAATTCTCGACAACGAAAAAAATATAATACCGTTTCAGTTCCAAAAACTGGTATTATGAACCTGAAGTGAACGTTGTCTAAACGAGCATAGTAATACAATAAAAATGTATTAATTAATTTCCGTTTCATTATTAATTAAGAACGAATTAATAGTGAGTTGACAATTGTTGTGATCGATTAATGTAAAACGTGTAATAGGCATATGTTATCAGTATTATGTGGTATAAACTGGATTCAGTTGTAATAATAATGGTTATTACTTGTATAGTGAAACAGAATTAACTCGTTTTAATTAAAATTATAATTTTAATAACTTGCACAATAAAAGCAGTAAAGTTATATTATTAATTTGTTATATACTCGTGTAACTACTCAAAATAAACTTCAAAATGGAATCACTCATTCGAGGGTTAAGGTTTGTTAATTTTACAGTGATCCCTAAAAACGGCATCTTTCTTACCATTAGAATAACGCATTTGAACGGGTAAACGTCTGAAATATACATACATATATAATCTTGCGTCATTTGTACATCATACTCATTATTTGTTTTGGCTAAAAGACAAAAGTGCCTTGCGTTAAGAGAATAAAGACTGTGTCCTAAACTTAATAATATTTATAGAATATTATAACGTATAATCGATATTTTATTTTTAAACTAATATAGGTAGTAATACACATAGGTATATTATGTTTACCCATACATTTATTTTACTTAATTTTGATAAAATTAATCTTTATTTTATTGCAAATGTTTCGATGATTTTTGTATACCCATAAACAGGGTTTTTTTTTGAACAAAGTGAAAAATATTTTACTGTTATTAGAAAATAATAGGACACTGTTTTATTCAATATAGTGTACCAGGGCTCGAGACTTCTAGCATTTGCATATTTATTCATATGATGTTAAAATATAGCAGAGTAAGTTACAAATCCGTTTCATAGTAAAAGGAATGCAGCTTTAAAAGTTTTTAGAGCATATTTTGACATATTTTAGGGTTTTTAGATATTTTCTACTATTTTTTAAAGTATCATGCTATTTTTTGCATATAATTTGTTAATCAAAAAAAAAATGAAGTAGTTTTGTGTGTTTTGTGAACGCCAAGTGGTAAATTTCTATTTTACAAAAGTAAAATGTAAAAACGTATAAAGTCGCGTTTATATTATAACTGTTCAATGTGAACGCCGATTTAGCCTAAAAACTATTTCGTTCAATCATTCACTTTTATAAAGTAAATGTGGCTTTTTTTGAGTTACTTGACACTGACGATGCAGTCAGCATTCAAGAAGTGACAAAATGTATCAATAAAAACGGAATAGACGAAGATCTTATTTTCATCAAATCAAATTCTTTGTCTCTTACTACATCTTTAAAAAAAATACAAATACATGGGTTGTTATTATCTGACTATATTGAAATAGTTAAGAAAAATGTAGAAAAATCTTTTGAAACTCTACGAGGTCCAATTGGATTGAAAATACAGTTAAAATTAAAACAAGTTTTAGAAAAAAATACTGGTCTATCACTTTTAAAAAAAATGTCTCGCATTTTATTGAGTATAAGAGACATCGAAAAATTAGATAGTTTTCTAGATGATATTACTTGTAGTGATGTTCCATACTTCAAGTTTGCCACTATTACATCGGTCAATGTAGAACGTTCGTTTTCAACGTACAAAACATTTCTAACCAATATTAGAAGATCGTTCAAATTTTAAAATATTTACAAACACGTGATAATACAGTCCAATTTTCAAGGTAAAAACCAAAATTTAAAATTTGTTATTTATAAAATATAATATTTTTCTTACTTACTGATTTATTGAACTTTACCAATTATATTTATAGAATGAAGAAATTATACGTATGTACAATTGTCGACAAAAAGAAGAACACTCGTGAATGTTTTTTAGTATTGGATTATATATAATTAAATATTTTCAGAATTAAAATTAATTAAAATAAATGTTTTTAGATTTTTATTAGAGGATATTTAATTTTTATATTGAGCATAATATAGTGCATATTTTACTATTTTTTAAGGCATATTATAGCTCATATTTCATGGTTTTTTAGTGCTAAAAGTCTCGAGCCTTGTACTGTACTATCATAATTAATACCAATTACACCTAATTACTTAATTTAATCATTAATATAGATTTTAAGTTAATATTTGAATTTTTGTATTTTTTAGCAGAACAAGGAAATAGAAAAAAAAATTTTTCTTAAAGTAAAATTATTTTACTTTAATGAGTTTTATTACATGAATGGATTTTATTTTAGATGTTCTATTTCAGATTTATTGAAATATTATAACGCTTAAAACAAAAATATTTTGTTAGGCACAATACTTTTATATGAAGTAACATAGGTATTTAATTAATTAATAGTTTTATAAAGAATACATTTGAAATGATTTAAAGGGGCACTCAAATATATATAAAACACTAAAGAAAAATGTTTTTATAAATGGCATTATAATTAATAGTTTAATAAATATATACTAACAATTTATTTTTTTTAAACCTAAATAATAAATAATCTAATCTTAAATATACTAAAATCCTAACCAACAAAAAAAAGTAAATTTCTCCCAAATGGCTTCTACAAAACTCTCTAATTATGGTCTATAATTTATTAACGATCAAATAATTAGAAAACTTTCTTCAACCAAATTTCTCAACTGATATAGATAAAATAATTGAAATGTTCTCAAGAATAATCACCAAAGCTGTTGAACTCACAATAGATAAAAGTTAACCATCCTTTTTTAAAAAAAAAGGCCCCTGGTGGAATGAAAGTTTTAAAAATTTTTAAATTTGTACTACAAGAAAGCACTAAATCGCTTCAGGAAAACGGAATTGCAATCAGATCATATAGAACTCAAGAAACGCTGGGCAATATCATGACAAATAATAATTGTTTGTCATGAATATAAATATATATATATATATGAATATTAATTATTAATAACAGTAAAAATGAATCATGGAAAATTTCACATCCAGTATCAATTATAAAACAACCATAAATCTCACGTAGTCAAAAATCAACAATACAAAAGGTAAACACCAAACTCAAACAAAAACTATAAATTTCAATGACGAAACGATAATAAACAAAAAGAAATTGTAAATGCCTTTGGATCTTTCTTTCAGTCGAACAACAGCAATTTGAAAACTATAACTTAAATTATAGAGCAATTTCGTTGCTCTAAAAACAAAAAGCTAACTCGAAGCTCGTCGAAGCTAACTCACAATGTAAAGCTGATGACTCAGACAACCTAATAAATTCACCCCTTACGATTATTGAACTAAACACTTCACTGAAAAAAAAAAAAGTAAGAGAACCTGATGTAATTCCATTTTCTATTCTTCAAAATTTTACTTAAAATCTTTAATATTATCTGGATCAATAACCTTTTCCTTAAACAATGGAGAACATTACATAGTATTCCTATTCCTAAATTTGTAAAATGCCCTTACATAATTAACAAAACGCTCGAAAGCATAATTAATTCCAGACTCACATGATATTTAGAAACACAAAATCTTTTTTCACCACATAAATCGCAAAAATTGATCAACCGTAGATTCGTTAACAACAATTCATACAAACATATGCGAGTCATTAGAAAAAAAATAATAATTTTTTAATGGTATCCCTCAATATTGCAAAAGCATAGGACATAGTATGGAAACATAGGGTTCTTTCTTCAATCCAAAAATGGAATCTTAAAGGCATTATTCTTCAACTTGTTAATAACTTTTTGACAGGAAAAATCATTGATGTTAAAGTTAGACATACTCCATCATAGACATTTTAAACTGAAAATGGATTGCTACAAGAGTCTTCATTAAGCGTAACGCATTTTTTAATGGCTATCAATAATATCAGCAAATAAATAAAATCACCTGTTAAAATTATATACGCTGACGATTGTAACTTATAATTTTCAGGATCTAACATCAGAACTACTAGCTTACGCATACAAAAAACAATTAAAGAAAAAAATGGTCAATAAAGACAGGATTTAAGTACTCTCCCTAAAATGTTGTCTCTTCCACACGTGAAATATGAAGATGTACCTAATTCACGCCTTAAAATCAAATTTAATTTTTTTTTCTGGCAAAATTGATGAAAAAATTAAATTAACATAAATAATAAGTTCAAGTAAATAAAAAATATGTCACTGTGAACTTACTGTTAAATACATATTCTTAAAATGTCGCACCTATCAGAACGCCCGAACAAAATCAATTATAAACATTATCTCACCGAAAGAAGCATTCGATCCCAGACAAGAGAAAAAAATTACAGAATATATCAAAATATCCAAACTTATAACAAACATGAAAGAATAAATTATGCCACATTTAAAAAAAAAAAATGTTCATAGATAAAATTTAAGAATTTAACTCCAAATTTACAAACAGATGTAGACTAATAAACTTTGATTTAAAGCCTTAATTAAAATTGAAAAAAAATAATAATTCTTATAAATCATTGAACGATGGTATGAATAAACTATATGCATAAAAGTAATGTGTGTTAAATGAATAATTGTATTTTGAGTACTGTATTAAAGAGGCATATTTATTAAATTGAAGAGCTATAGCATGAAAATTGAAATATTTGTTTGTATTCTTTTACATAAAAATTCTTTACAAAACTGTCAATATAAATATGTTATCAGTATTAATACTAATACAATAGGTTTCCAAAAATTGTATACATTTATAAATTGGAATATAATTTTTACCTATGTAGTGAAACAGATCCATTTTGAATTTTGGTATCTCGCTGTGGTTTGGCATAATTGTTGGGTAAAAAATCTACTTCAATTGAACTCGATGGAGACAGCTAGAATGAAAGAACCCATGAGTTTAGTTATTTATTATCATAATGATTATTTTTTAATTATATTAACTTTAATATCATTCTATTTATAACACTATATTAATCACAAGAAATACCTTTGTCACATTTCTTCCTGACACTTGTAAATAATTTTTCTGAAAAATTCGTAAGTTTGATGATGTTATAAAATGTGTTTATTTAAATAATAAATGTGTATATTATAATGAAAACAATTTTAATTTGTAATTGCACATAACACAGTGAGTTGTTAGCATTATTTTTTAGTAATTATTAATATTAGGTTTTAGTTGAACAATTGACACTACATTATAATACTTGAATGTTACTGTTTATTGTTTTCATTAAATTAAAATACTATATAATATAATATATCAATTTATAACATTCAGTTTTTCAATGAATCGATTCATATGAGCATATTTTAACATATATTTTTTACATTTGTTAATTTTAATTTAATATTTTTATTATATAATCATTCATTTGAAAATATTTCTGAAATAACATTTATTTAAATTATAATAAATAAATTATCTGTATTTTTTATAACAAAGATAGTAAATAATAATAGATATAATAAAATAATAGATATGATTAACTAAATATTTTTAAATATTTTTTTTGACAAATCTCGTATTATTATAAACAAACGGGAAAATAACTAATTTAATAATATTTTGAGCAAATAATTCAACTGCTAAAATATATATAATTTAAATTTTTCAAAATAAATTGTTTCATTATTATTATTTATACATATTAAGGTGTATGACCGCAGCGGCGGTCATCAAAATCGTAGACTTACCGTTCATAACCACACATATTTATTCTTTTGTTAAAAAGGGAAATTTGAAAGGTCGGTAGTTCAAAACCGCATACATTTGGTTAACAGCTCCTTTCTCTCTGCACACTTTGCATGTACAGTTCACGTTGCCGGTTTCGTATGAACTTTTTTATCCTGGGACCTACTTGGCGTGTACCATATCGGGAGATATTTTCGTTTTTAATTGTCCAAGCGAGCGAGTGATCTCGCTCGGTCTCGAGGTGCACTCATGTTATTTTAGATAAATATACTTACTTGATGTATATATATGTATATAAATTTGTGCGGTATTGAACGGTTTAATTTGGCGAAAATATGTGGGATTATATAAAAGTGTGTGGTTTTGAACGATGACCTGATTTGAAAGTATACGGTAATGAACGACGCCCGACCGCAGTAGGCAAATGTTGACAGTCACCGGTGTATGTTCACATTTAACAAAAATTGTAGTGAATGTTGACAAAATGGTCTTAACGCGTTTATACACCAGTGATTGTTGACATTTACAATCGGTGTTTGGTAAGTGTTGACCACGCTTAAAACACGATGTATGTAAAAGGTATTTTTGTATTATTTTGTAGGATCGATAACATTTTCGATTGTTGTATTAAATAAAAACTAATATATAAAACTATATATAAAAAATTACTATAAAAACTATATATTAAAATATTAATTTTTTAAACTATAATTATTTATGAATTTGATATATATTATGTTGTCAGACATGTCAACATTCACTAAATAACTATTGCGCATGTCAACAAATACTGGTAAATGTCCGCATTGTGAGATATTTGAAATAATTGATAACATTCACCAAAATGATCAGTAAATGTCAATATACACCGGTGACTGTCAATGTTCACTGCCATGCGGTCATACAACCTTAACATATATATATATTATTTAAACAAATTTTAGTCATTAGTGATTTCATCAATTAATAATAGAAAAAAAAATATAAAAACAAATTGAAAGTAAATATTTTGCAGTCATAAAAATAGAAAGAAAAAGAAAAGACGGATTTTATTCTTTATTTTAAAAAGTATTTTTTGTGAGATATAGTGTCAATTCTAACACTTGAAAAATAAGAAACTGAACTGGTACATAATGAGTGTATTTCTAATATCATTAATTATTTGTATCTGTAATAAAAAAAAAGTTATTAGTATTGTGAATATATATGTTAAGTGTAAGACCAGACTAGATTAAAAACATAAAATTCGTTTTTGGATTTAGGTAAATAAACCAAAAAATAAACTGTATTCAATAATTATCTCATAAATATTGCACTTCAAATAAAATACGCGAATTAAATTTATTTTATACTAATAATTCTTAAGGTAAATCGATTATACCTATAATGCTGTACTATACTTTTATGATTATTATTCTCACTAAACGTTTAGTGTAACGTTTTTTCATTTAGCTTCTTTTGTGTTTTAGTGGAGTTTTTTGGCCGCCGTTAAAATATTAACAAACATATTTTGAATAGACTTTACTCGTATAATGCATAATTAATTAGATTGTAATGAAAAATGGAATTACAGTCATGTATTGTCTATGAACAGCGTTCAAATGCAAATATCAAGCTTTTAGTAACTATAAAATAATCATAATATATCAGCTTATTAGCAACTACGTTAGGACCTATCTTGCTAATTTTTTAAGTAAGCTTTAAATTCAACTACGCGCAAACAGTACTCGTATTAGTATTTTAAATTTAGTGTTATTAAGAGCTGCAATCGTATAGTTCACCAATTAGGTACGTAGCTTACATGCTTTTTTTTCGAATGAGTATTGCTTACTCTAAATGACCGTTTCAAACTGCCCGTCCTACGTCTCATTGATGACCACACGCTGCCAAAGAGCGAGTGATTTCTCTTCAAATTTATAATTGTTATAAGAATGGTATTTTTGAACTTATCAAATTTTAATAATTAAATTTAAAATAAATACCCTGTGCGACGGTTCGGGATTGTCATCGATGAGTTCATCAAGGTTTCCTGATATAGCTCTTTTGATTTCAGGACCAGCGTCATGTAAAGTGCGCAAACCAGCCTGTAAAAATATTATATATCAACGCGATGCGTGAAAAAATTTTAAAGCAATTATTGTGGTTTAATACTCGTTAACGCTGTACATTAATATAATATAATACGATTACCTGAAGTGTAACGGTATTTCGCGCTTCTTTGTCCCCTTCTTTTAATTCTTGTTCTTTTCGTTTTTTGAACCGACGGAAATAATCTTGAATCAAGAAGGTCGCGTAGAATTTGCCTACAGTCACTTCGTCGTCAACTGTATTATAATAAGTATTGCAATCGACGATAAGTATTGTACGGTATTACCTACATTAAATATCTACGAATAAGCGCGTGACAAATGTCTAACGTACCTCCCGGAGGCGGCACAACTTGGTCGAGAAGTTTCGGGTTGGTACGTTTCCAAATCTTTTTAATGACAGCTCTTAACTCAGCGTTTGCGTCATCGATGTTGCCTTCAGATTTTATATGTAACGACGTTCGGACGACTGCAAACAGTGTCGCGTTGAACAACACTGTGCCGTCACTATTTAAGGGCATGTTCATGGAAACCAGTCTCTGCAATCACAAAAAACATATTTAAACACACCGAATTAAATATTACATTTCATTTATGTTTTGAACATGTTATTTAAGTCAACAGATATCTTATGATTCTCGGCTAGCGATCATGATCAGCTTAGGCGTTGACAAATTATACGAATTATGTACGTTAAAAATAATTGAAGGTAGTACCTTACACGCGACGCGGTGCGGACACAGTTTACCGAATCCCAGAGGAGGTGATATTTTTCTCAACAACGTCACAACGTCCAGATGTTTTATTCTACCTTTGGCATCGGGATCGTATTCGCTCCACAACCTGATGAACTCGTCTAAATGATGCGGTCCCAGTATGGACCAATCTCTGGTTAAATAATCGAAATTGTCCATGATGACCGCGACAAACAAATTGATGATTAGAAATGAACACAGCACATAAAACGAAATGAAGTACGGGAAAGCAAAATCGGAACCGCAACAGTTATCATCCGTCTTATCTGCACCGCTATCGCAGAATACTTCGTTAGGTCGATAAGCACACGACATCATAATGTCTTGCCAAGCTTCACCTATGCGCATAAAAAAGCATAAAAATTACAATCAACAACACGCCTGTCATTGATTTTCAATAAACTTAAAAATTTACCCGTTGCAGAGCGAAATAGAATGAGGACGGCTTGAGGGAACGTCTGAAAATGGTTGTTTCTATGTATTGCAGATTCCTTGGTATCTTTTGCTATTCTTCCAAAAATCTATAATACGATTTTATATAACGTTTTTTGTTTTTTTTTTTTTTTTTTTTTTTTAATTGTATTGCATGCAATTAAATTAAAAATGTTCAACAGTTCAAATTTACCTGCATACCGATAACTGCGTATATGAAAAACAGCATAACAATTAAAAGTGCGACGTACGGTAGAGCTTGAAATGATTTGACGAATGTCCATAATAATGTTCTAATACCATCACCACGACTTAATAATTTCACTAGACGCATAACCCGAAATAGTCGAAAAAAGTTAATCGAAAGTTTTCTGTCTTTTTTCTTAGGAATGGTAATGTTAGTAGGCTAAAAAATATAAAAATAATTAAAAATTTAACTCGGTAGAGATTCAACACACGATTTATACATACTGATAAATTTTCAACGACAATATCAATAAAACTTCCCAGTACAATTATGAAATCAAAAACATTCCATGCGTCACCAAAATAATTCTGAAATAATAATTACAGATCGTCATTGATATCCTTGTACACAGTTTGGTTACAACAGTATAATTTCAAGTATTTCACTAGGCATAGTCGTTTATCGAATATACACATAGGTCAATTTGTTATAAACGTTATTATTAATAAAATTCATTCAGTTTTGCACTAAAACTATTGAAAATTATTGTAACTTCAAATGAAAAAAATAACTTCTAAACTGTATATTATAATAAGATTTATACGTTATATTTGTATTGCATAAATTACATTGAGTATTATAAATATTACTCCGCCCTCTGCTCGCTTTGCTCCGCCCGACTACCCCCTGCTCACTTTGATCGCCAACCCCCTGGTATTTTGTAGTTTTTGAAGTGCCATAATTTTTATATCACTGACTTTTTTTCATCTTTAAAGATATTCAATGTTTTAATTTATGCTAAAGAAATAGTATCAATGATTTTTCAATATGATAAAGAGGTTTTGTTTTTCAAAACTAAATTTATTAAATAAAATATAATATTTCAAAATATATTATATTATAATTCTTTATACCGTTGAATTTGAATAAACATATTGAAAACACAGTTATTTTTTATATCGTTTTTCACTAATGCATTACCTAATGTTACTTATTTAAATTAAACGATAAATAAAATATATATTTACGTATTATTAATATTATTTATTAACTTTTTTGTTAAAAATAATTTGTTGGTTTATTTTATTAATTTTGGATGATTTATATGGTACTTTCGGTTGAAAATAGCACCTTTATTATGTGAAAAAAAATGTCATTGTTTGATTTCGTTTAATTTTTATTTAATTTATTAAATTTGTTGTTAATATAATTTCACGAACATAATTAGTCTACCATTTAATAATTATGTATAATAATATGTAACTTGAATAGTATTTGACAAAAAGATAAAAATATAAATTATAATTTTATGAAATGTAAAAAAATCAAGCAAATATTCAAATTATGAGTTATTATTTTAACTGCCGTTAGGACTTTGATATTCAATTTACATTCAATTTTCTTTTAACGCACGCATGAAAATGTATCGAGATGTATCTTATCAGATATTGCTCTTGGGTGTTGCACGGAATATCTGTTTATTTATTTTATTGTTATTTGCTACAAATATTTTCGAAATAACAGATGGCAATTGATAAATACCTTAAATCGAAAAGCTGCTAGTTTGAAAACAAATTCCAACGCGAATACGGCCGTGAAAAACAAATTTAGCATATCCAATATGCTATCGTAATATTGGGGTTGTTTATAGAACTTCATAGCGAGTGTTATGGTATTGACCATAATCAACACGAATATTGTATATTCGAATGGCTGAGATGTCACGAACCACCACACTTTGTACTGGCATCGATGTTTGGGTATATAACGACGGACAGGTTTGGCTTTCAGAGCAAAAGCTATGCAGTTCCTCTAAAAGAAAAAAATATATATATAAATGCATAAGATGAGTGTGAAAAAATTATAACTCTCATTAATGCAAATAGTCACGATCGTTTCCAAGGATTGAAATCATAAGTATCGCATATTATTCGACGATAAGTTCAATGTTAATTCTGGGATTTGTCGTACAGTTAAGTTATAGATATAAATTTGAACAAGTTTTTGCGGAACTAATTCGCCCCAGTGAGTCTCGATACGTAATCTATCATGCTATAATTTATAGAACAGTTCCGTTTACTTGATTTTTATCTAGTTCGCAATTCTTGTACTCCTGTTCTCCTTCGTTTTGGAACGTTACTATAACGAAACCGACGAATATGTTGACCATGAAAAACGCTATTATAATTATATATATTATATAATACGCGGCCACGATTGGTCTGTAATTGTGAATGGGACCTTTTTCTTCTTCATTGGAATCGATTGATTTGTGCAACAGTCTGTAAATGTTTAATTGATGAACATACGTAATTATAACCGAGACAAATGCGATCTTACGAAGGCCATCCCTCAAACGTCGAAACAGTAAACAACGTGAGCATGGCTTTAGCCACATCGTCAAAATGGAACGAGTTGCGTTCCCATTTTCTATCTTGTTTTTTAGGAGTGTCCACATCACCGTGGTCAAACGTTAGATACAAACCTCTGCAAAATAATGAATTAAATGTAGAGACAATAGTTAAATGGTCCTAAATGTTTGTAAAACTTTTTACGTTTAAATAAAGATTATAATAATGAAAAGCGGTGTTATGATAGTGGTATGCAATTAGAGTAAGTCAATTAAATATCTTTCAGTTTTATTTGAAAATTATGATTTATTGATCGATAATTAGCTCATGGTTATGTGCGTAAAATAAGTGCATAAATTATATGATATACTAACTGGCATTCAAATTCTGTAGTTTTGGAAAGATCATTGCAGGAAAAGAATTTCCCCTAAAATCAAAAATAAAATATTTTAAATATTTGAATTACACATATTTGCTGAAAACAGTAGTCATATAGTTTTATTTGAAAATCAAGGAATCAAGTATTAAACGTCGTGTACTAAATGTTAACATGTATAAATAAAAAACAAAAAATAACATCATGCAATTAATTATTCTCCGTATTATTTTATTAGTATTTTATAGGTTAAAATATACTTACTGCTCAAATAGCAAAATTGTGTTCAAATACAACAATTATTTTGAAGCAGTAATTAGAAAAGACGTTAATAATTATTATTGATGAATGATATATTTTGCAATGAAATATACTAGTGTTTATTGTTATTTACTACAAATTAAGTTTTATGTTAGAATTATGTTTTGATTTGAATTAAGTATTTTGTGATAGATAATTAAGACAGTAATATAGAAAGTAAGCGTTTCAACAGTTGAATTCAATAGTTTGAACAAGCAATTTTATATTTTTTTTAATAAAAATCCATTTTCAATAAATTTTAAATTCCCTAATTGATTCTACACGATATTAAAATATTGTAACACAGTTATACTTAAGAGAGTCTAAAAATACCACAAAAAAATTGGGGATAGCGGCAAATATTATAGGGTATTTGTAAAAAAGAAACCGAGGTACATAATATACTTATATTCATATGCATTAAGAAATAGAAATAATAATAATAATAATGATGATGATGGTGATGATGATAATAATAATAAAATAATAATAATAATAATAATAATATTTATAATAATAATAATAATAATTAAAATAATATTAATAATAATAATAATAATAAAAAGAAAAATGTGTGCATAAATTATACAATCATGCACTATATTTTAAAAATGTATTATCTGTGATACTCACAAGTCAGTATCATTGATTTAACTACAGTTGAATAAATTTAAAAACTAATAACAAAATAATGTGGTATATATAAAGCAAAAATTCTATGTATGAAAATGAGTTTATTATATTGCTACGAAAATTAAATTGTTAAATATTTTTTAAATATTGACCATAATAATTTATATGTTAAACATACAAATATAATGATATTTTATTAATAGGATTATTTGATTTTATAAATATATTATTTAAAAATAATAATTAAATTATTTTATACTGCATTATAAAATTATGCTTTATTTTTCATACAAATTTAAACAAAAAGTAGATTTTATTGAAATTTTTATTTTTATTTTTTTTTAAAAAAAAATAACTTATTAGACTTTTTTGTCTATTAGACAATTGTGAAAAATGAGCTAAATTATAAAAATATTAGCTATTATAATACATACTTTAATTAAATTAAACTACATAATATGTATAATTATAAAATTATACAGGGCCGGTTTTAAGTATAGAACATTTCCCAGGGCACACTTTTAGAACGTAAATATAAGTACCTAATTATTAAATATTAATTACTATATTTTTATTGGTAGATAAAACTAAGATGAAACATAGCTGTATGGTCTGCATAGTCATTAGACAACGAATTTGGATATATGGATTATGGATTCAATTTTGGGAATCATCAAAATAAAATTATTTTTAATAATAGTTGATGTGATGACGACTGTTTAAGGTTCTATGAAATATGTATAATGTATAATTATACACAATTATATATATCATTTTTTCCGCATCTACCCATTGTTAGTATTTAATTAAAACAAAATCAAAATAATTTTGATAAATAATTTTAATAATAGATAATAAAAATAAATAAAAATATAAAAAATATAAATAAATTATTATAAAATATTATTAACTATTAATTATTTATTTTTGATTTTTCAACTATTGAAAAATCTTTTCGAAACAAGATGGTCCTCTCGGGATGATGCTTGTAAAGCTCTAAACTAAAATTGGTCTTAAACAAAGTCTGTGTGATATATCAGAAAATATAGAAGTAAAACCTAATACTCATAATGAAGCTCATGATTTATTTAAATTAATGAACAGTTTTGAAGTTACATTTATGTCTCTATTATGTGGTGAATTACTTCAACCATTTAATATGGTTACTTGTATTTTTTTCGTGCAGTAAGTAGGTATACCTAATAGTAAAAATGTATAATGAATGCATACCTAGTTAGAACAGCTAAAAATTAACTGTCAAACTGTAAACGAGAAAAGGTAATAATAATAATAATAATAATAATAATAGATATATTAATAGATATAAAATAAATTTGAATGAAATTGTATACAAAATAAAAATGCTTTACTGTGAGTTTTAAATAATAAATAATAAATGATTTATCAATTTCTACAGAATTTATTATATTCACCCAAAAAAGCTACAAAATTACCTTAAAAAGCTGAACTCCTATGACAGCAAACATGAATTGGAGTAAATATGTAACCAGCATGATATTTCCGATGGTCTTAATTGCAACTATCACGCATTTCACTACATACTATAAAAAATTAATACTATATAAAATATAAAAATAAAAAGACTAGATTTTTCCTAGGTGGTGTTGATATTCTTTAGTATAATAGAAGATAAATTTTTCTGAAAAAATGTATTGATAATTACTAGACACTACAATTAGTTCTATTTATTTAAGATTTATATAAAATTTAAGATATTAATTTTTAGTATATAAATATGATCCAAATAAATATTATTTCGAATCCATAAATAACATTCACTTAGTATTATTTTAAAATATAAAGAAAAGTAAAAAGTAAACAAAAAATAAACTAAAAGTCAATATAAATCTATTTAGGTAGAATATTTTTTTTAAAAAAAATTGAAAAAGGGTTAATCTAAAATTATTACACACAACTGTAATTATAATTATTTAAATCTAATTTTATTGTAGATTTTAAACCACTAAACGCATTCCTATTAAATTCCGTATAAATATTGTTTTTACAATGCTTTCTAACATTTAATTACGGTTTTTGAACAAAAACTGATATTTCTAAATGAAATATAAATCGATTCTAAAATATAATATAGTAACATCTTAGTTTTCATTAAATTTATGTAATATTATCATAACAAAAATAATAATAATAGTAATAATAACTACTAAAGGATTTTAAAAAATAATACCTATAGAACTAAATAGAATATGAAAATTTATTGCATGAGTTATAGCCTATTTTATGCTTACATCAACATATTTTTCTATTTTATAATTACAAACAATACGTTTGTAATTATACATATATTAATATTGTAAATTCGTATATATTAATATATATCTATTTATACTATATTAATATTAATGTACTCGTATGTATTACCATAACACTCAGTAACGACTTATAGCATTGTTATATTAATAAATTTTTGAACTAATCTAAAAAATAGCCTAAATAAAGCAACCACATATACACATACGTATGACGTATGACCAACTGTTTATATTACCATAATACAACAGATATATGCAAACATATATATATATATATATATATGTATGCAACAGGTATATTATCATATTTTAAATAACTTAAGAATTTACACATACTAATAAATAAACTTAACATTTTACAATTTTTATCACATTAACTAGATAATAATATAAAATTATTATTCGCTAATAAATATACATAAATAATGATAACCTACTTACTATATTAACACTTATATTTTTCTAAAACTATTATCATCCGAAGTCTATTCAAGAAACAATGAACAACCAAAAATTAGTATATATTTTAAAAGTTTTCAAAGAACTAGTAAAATATGTTTTAATTATGATTTAATATCGTGTAGATAAAATAAATAATTAATATTAACGTCAGTGGCGCACACAGAATTTTTTTTTTGGGGGGAGGTCAAGGTAAAAATATAATACATTTTACAATTAACAAAATTATGCAAATTCTTTACATATTTTGACTTAAATAATATCATTGATAATAGAATAGACTATTTTATAATCAATGATACTAGGTATTCAATACTCTTCATATTTAAAAATTGTAAATTTTGTAAATTTTTACCTAGATATCGGAAAAAATGTCGAAGGGGGGGTTACAACCCCTTTAACCCCTTAATTCCTCCCTGCGTGTGCCACTGATTAACGTTGTAAATATATATATATATGTATATATATATATACCCGTGTGTGTGTGTGTTTTTGCGTGAATATAACTATATAAAACATATTATCAATTCTATTACAAATAATATATTTCCTTTGGAATCATACAAATTGACAGTCGAATAAATATTAAAAACGCATAATTAATTGTTAGGATATTGTTAATGTTACAAAATATTACGTTAATTATTAAATTGATGAGTTATTTCAGTTAAGTTCGTCTTTCAGGAAAATGTCATAAGATAAAGAAAATAGGATATTAAGGGATAACAAGACATTTATGAGAAACCCACATCCGGGTACGGCTCGTACCTTAAATAATTGTACTCCAATTACAGCAAACATGAATTGAAGAAGGCAAGTTACCAGCACTATATTTCCGATTGTTTTGACCGCAACAATGACACACTGCACTACATGCTAAACATTTGGTATAGTTTTATTTTTTATTGTGTTTTAAGATAATTAATACAACTCAAGACAGCTAATTCAGGTATATTTTACATTTTTCAAACGATTAAAAATAATTGTAAGTATTATTAAGTTAAGCTATCAAAATATAGCTTATATTATTTGTAATTACAGATGATTGTATAAAAAAAACCGTATACATTTCTTGAGAAATAGTATTCACGGACACAAAGATCATCATAACAAAACTAGAACAATTTTGTCGCTTAAATTAATGAATAATTTATAATTTTATCTACAAAAATATTGACTTATTTTAATGAAAGAATAAAGTATTAATTCCATAAAAATGATACATCAGTATGACCGACATTATATTCAAATCACTGCATAAGGTACAATTAATTGAAAATAAATGTATACTTTATTGAAAAGAAAATTGAATACCAAACAAAATATCTCTCTACTTATACTTTTTCATAGTAAGAAATTAAAATATAAGTATACCGAGGACAGCATTGAATTCATAATGAATTTACTAATGTTTAAATTCATCATATGATTAGAATTTAAGGTAAATTAATAATATTTTTAACATAAAATAACTGCACAGAGTCTTAGTTTTAATATCAATGATACAAAGTCATATTATAGATATTTTATTGGTATTATTATAATAATAAAAGTAAAATAGTATATAATATGTATTTTTGATCGAAATGATGTACTCATTCGTTCCGTCGATAAAATACATACCAATAACTCGTAAAAACTATGGATATACATATATTTATATTAAAATATACTCGTCATTTTAACAAATGAAAAATTACAATTATTAATTTAATGGTGACATTTACACATAAATACATACCAAAGTTTTATAATTATTATTCATGATTAGTGTTTATACTAAAAATGTAAAAAAATTTTTTTATTAAATTAGAATTTCCAGTTGCATATATTTATAAACTAAATAATCACTGAGCTGTTTTTTTTTTTTTGTAAGAGCTTTATATTTATTTTCGTAACATTATAGTGTAGGTTCTAGTGCGGTGTGATTCTGTGTTATTTAAATAATATCACAGCTAATGCCTAGTGATATAAGTTTAGTATTTAATTTCTTCATATTGAAGAGTTACGATTAATTTAACATTTTAACGAACGAGTATTGTGTAATCATTGTGTATTCATCGATAACACATGGGAACAAATAGAGAACAATGTTGTTTATTTCAAAATGTGTGAAAGAGATTTAACCTAATTTTTATTTTAAAAATATTTGATTTTAGTAGTTTAATTAAAATTAAATATAAATATAAATTAATATATGGTGCATTAATCATTCGAATAATTTTAAACAGAACTCTGAACAACTATTTATTTATTATAAGTGTAAGTCATACTTGCAAATATTCGTGTTATTATGCAATATATCAATATTGAAATGATAGATTTGATTATTAATAGTTTAAACAATTTTACATGTTTGAAGAATCAAATACATCAATTTAACTATTCATAATATTTAATTGAAAAATGCTTATATCAAGAGAATTTTTTAAGAGCTACCCTCATATAACTAATATATCTAATACATTTTGAATCTAATCTGTAATTATGATAATCGATTATTTTTCAACAATCGATAATCGACTGTCAAAATTAACAATCGCCCAACCCTAGTAATCACATGCAACAAGGTACATCATAAAGTTATATATATATTTTTATTATTGTTGTTTCATTATTTTGTCAGTCAAATATATTATTATAATACAGTATATTTTATGTATAAATATTGAAGTTATTATTTTATTATATAATATATAATATACTATATTATACTATATTATTGTCCACTCATAATTGTCATGTTAAATATATTTATTAAATATATGCTTGTTCAAATATAATGAATTAATAACAAAATAATAAAATGGCTTTTAATAATATATATTATGTATATTCATTAACACCTAAAAATTCATAATAATTTTTTACATATGTACTTACTTTTAATCCTTTTGCTCTATTTATAGCACGTAAAGGTCTGAGTACTCGCAGAACTCTTAAGACTTTTACTAATGACATTGGTCCCGCGCTAAAATTTTGAGTACTGCCATTTTTAAATAGTATATACTGTTCATATAAATCATACAACAACAAACCTTGCCATTTTAGAAAAAACTGTCAACAGCGAGACAGCAACTACTAAAAGATCCAATAGATTGAAAAACGATCGACAGAATGCTCCATCGTGCATTACAAAACCATAAGAAATGATTTTAAAAATTATCTCAAAAGTGAAAACTGCCGTGAAGAAATGATCGAATTTTTTTAAAACCTATGAAAAAGATAATAGTTATTTATTACAACTATAAATAGAATATCAATTGTTTCGAAAAGGTAAATATTTCGACTTACGTTGTTTCTATCCGAATCTGCTTTTAACGGATCTTCTGCAGCTAATAAAGCCGAAGAAACCATTATACATACTAATAAAAAATTACTAAAGTAAGTATGGTTGCAAAACCAATGGCAGAACGTTCGAACCCTAGAAATATTTACAAAAATATTTATTAATTTTACAAAGTGAATGTTCTGAAGTAGGTATATAGATTACATTATAATTTTAACTAATAAATAATACACTTATAAATTTGTTTTTATTGCAGTTTAGTTTTTATTTTAAACGTAGTGCGAATTTAATAATGAAAATTTGAATAAATTCTGGAGAAAATGGTTTATGAAAATAAGACTAAAGTTATTATATATGAGTATATTTTCCTCTCCTAGATCGTAATTTTTACTATAAAACCAATTATTGTTATATTACTCGATATTATAATTTTATTTCAGTACTGTACACATTCTTAAAGATTTTTCATTAATAATCAATGTACAGTTTTTATTCATCATTTATTGAAATCAAGCTTAGCTATAATATATAGGGGCTTGTACTATACGTATTATGACAATATATTTAACAAAATAAATAAATAAATATTAAACATACTGTTTTTAATAATTATATGTAAGTCATTATAACTTCCATTTTTGATTTTTCAATACTTAGGTAGTTTTGATATTTATTGATTGTTAATGATTATATTTATAAATATAGTGAATGAAATAAATAAAATGAGGACTCAAGTTACTCGCCTATTAGTTGGGGAAAATATGAAAAACGATGAAGCCTGAGGAATTGGCGGCATCCCTTTATTCGCATTGTTGAGTTCCGACATCCGACGAGCACGACCTTCTTCATTTTCTTCATCTTCTAAGTCAAATTCATATTATTATAATAAATTTTACAAAAAAGTTAATAATTATAACTTTATAGTCTAACCTTGGTTATTATTTGGTTCAAAATCAGATCCTTCTTCAAGATTGATTTTAATGTTACTGTCACTTTCGTAATCTTTTCTTGACGAACTGTGTAAAATACCCCAAATTTATTAGATTTAAACAGAAAACAATGCTTACTAATTTAAATACTTACCTTTGGTCTGAAAGTTCTTCTTCGACAGATATTCCTTCAGAGTTTTCACCTTGATATTCATTTTCCCTTTCTCTCGTTTGGCTATTACTTCGAGATTTTTGTTTGGTTTCCGGTTGCTAAGTGTAACAAATTAAAAAAATTATTAACATAATTTATTCTGTAAACCGATACATTTATTCAGTAACTCACTTCTTCTTCTTTATCTATAGCAGTTAAAGACTCGGCATCAGCTAAATTATCCACAGCGATAGCCAAGAAAACGTTTAAAAGAATATCTAATTGATTTAATGGATAAGGTTGAATATCGAAAAAAAATGAATACGCATATTGTTGTTTTTAAATTTCAATTGGAGGCTTAATATTTTTAAACGCACCGATAAATATATTGGTGAGTAAATTAAACATTAATTAAAATTAAATTAATATATTAATAAAAAGTTATAAATAAAAAAATAATTTTAGGAATGAAAAATCAATATGAGTTGTATGAATTAGCAAATTAAAGTAATTTTATTTAGATACTCGGAGTAGTAAGTATAAAAAACACTAGTAAAACACAGAATAATAGTATTTAATTAGTTATTAAAAATATGACTCACACGATTATTGTATAGTCATTTAGTCTAAGAAGTAGTCGTAATAATAGTTTAATCGTTAAATTATACTTTATATTATTAAGGTTAGATTTTAGAAGTCACGGTAGATTTTGATTTTGAATACGTGAATTTTTTATGTAGTTATTTAAATAAGATATATTTAGTATACGAGTACATGATTTACGTATTGAACGTTAAAATTAATATAATTGATTCTTAGATGATTATTTCAATGTGTGTAAACAAAACTACCATTAATAATATAAGTTTGATAAAGGATACAGTTACCGCAGATAAACAATATAATAAAGTAGATGCAAGCTAAAATCCCTGGTGATGACACACCGTTGTAAGCGTTTATTCCATTATACATCACAACATTCCAATCCTCACCGGTCAATATCTGAAAAAAAAAACATGAAATTAATGTTTAAAAACGTGAATCGACAAATATTAAGATAAGTCTATAGTTAGTATCCTATTATCAAATGTATATCTCAAATATACCGACATAATTATTATAATTTAAACGTAATTTAAATTATAATTTAAAATGTATTTGTATTAAGCAGATTGAAAAACTGATCACATTTTTTTTAGAACTTGATTTAGTAGCTAGACAACATTTATTTTTTTAACAATGCGTACTTTTTCTCTTCAGTTCTTAGGATGTTTAATTATTTTCTCTTCGGACCTTTTATTTTATAACTTTTATTGTATATTATTCAATATCTATGTAAATACAAACTTAAAAATTTTTAACAACAATAGAAAAAAAAAAAATTCTATTAGGAATATTTTTGAAAGACCATAATATCACCAGTGCCTGTACAAATATTCAATGGATATGTAAACAATAATTGTTAATGAGTTTAAGTTCATATGAACTTAATGAATGACGTTAAAAGTATATTCCGATATTGTAAATTTTCTCTATTCGCTGATGATTTAAAATTATACCTAACAATAAATTCAATAGATGATTGTGTTAGACTACAAGAAGAGTTTCATCGTTTCTCTAATTGGTGTAAAGAAAACCACTTAAAAATTAATGTAAATAAATGTGCACAAATTTCATTTACCAGGAAAAATAAACCGATTTTACATAATTATTCATTAGACAATCATAAAATCAAAATAGTCTCTTCTATCAAAGACTTAGGTATCATACTATCATCTGATCTTACATTTTCTGAACATATATCATATATTCATAATAAAGCGATGCGCATGTTAGGGTTTATTAGGAGACAATGTTGGAACTTCAATAATATTCAATGTCTCAGAACTTTGTATTGTTCGCTAGTTCGATCAAATATTGAGTATGGGTCCATATTATGGAACCCATCGCAATCTGGTCATATAAATAGTTTAAATAAAATACAATCCTACTTTTTAAGATATTTGTCAAATAAATTTGCTATTCATTGTACAATTGATGAACTTGCGTCAAATTTAGGTTTATACACCCTGTCTTCCAGAAGAAAATTTTTTGATATCTCTTTTATTTACAAAATATTAAATAATCAAATTAAATGTCCTGAAATTTTGGGGGAAATAGATTGGTTGGTCCCTACTTTTTACTCAAGATCTAAATTAACTTTCAATGAGCCATTCCACTCACAACTATATTGTTTTAATGGACCTTTATGTCGTATGCTTCGAAACTGTAATGAATTTAATTTCGATTTTAATTTTGATGAAGAATCTAAACTTCGGCTTTTATGTCTAAGTTTCAAATAGAAAATCACCAAACTGTATTATGTACAACTCTAATATAAATAAGTAATTGTAGATAATTAAAATTATATATAATTGTTAGTTTTTAAAATATACAAACATAGAAATAAGTAATTAAAATTAAATACTACTATTAGATATTATTATTTATTATTTATTATTATCATCATTATCATTATAACTTATATTTATAATTTTTGTAAAATATGCTGAAACTCAATTGCTCTATATGGGCGTTAATAAACTATTATTATTATTATTATTATATCGATTAAATATTATTATGTTAATTATTAAATGTACATGTTGACGTTTTGAACTTAAAAATTAAAAATAAGTTTACTCATAAATAAGATAATAGGTATTTGATATTTTGTGTATTTACTAATTAAATATATATTATTTTTGACAACAGGAAATAATATCATACTATAAAAAATATTATTGGTTTATTGAGACTTAGAACAAAAGTTGAGAATAAGATCATTTTAATAAATCAGGGTGAGATTATACTGATTTTGTACATCGTTATGCTATTAGTCGTTAGTAAAATAAAACTGTACGTCATATACGAACATGTTAGGATAGGTTCATGGAAAAATAACCTTAAGGCACTAATGAATAAATATTCAACCAGTATATATGATGGGCATTGCAATTCATATTATAACTTATATGCGACCCATTATGATTATTTCATTAACAACCACTTACTTGAAATACAGTTAGTAAACTCTGCCAAAATGTATCAAAATTACTACGTGGCTTGTAATCTGTGGCTTCAAAATTAAATTTTCCACCGAATACTTGCATCCCCAGCAGTGCAAATATGACGATGAAAAGAAATAGTAAAAGCAGCAAAGAAGCAATGGATTGTATCGAATTGAGCAACGAGGCGACTAAATTTGAAAGCGACCTCCAGTACCTTGAATCACAGAAATAACATCATGCCATGAAGTGTTCCGTTCAGAACATCAAATAGGTTGCAGTCTAATATTACTTAGTAACTTTAAAAACCCTGAGTAGCCGAACACAACGTAACACTGATACTCCGAGTGGTAACATTAATGCCGTTCGCGTTAAAATCGTTTCGGTTATACTTCCGATTACTACGAAACAGTCGAATCGATTGAAAAGCGAAACAAAATATCCCTGGAGGCAAACATATATTAATTCATTAATACAGGTTTCGATAATTAGAACAATCAGTACACTTAAATTAAGTTTAGTGCGTAGTTCGTTGTCCAACACGACCTACCTGTATTCCGAGGCTATACATTTTTAACAACATTTCCAAAGTAAAAAGTGTAATGAAAAATACATTTGTTATTTCTGAAAAAAAAAAAAGAATTAGTAAAAAATCAAATAATATAATAACACAACTTATTATCCGTAATTTGATCACACGCACCTTGAAAATCATCTAACCATTGTGGTTGTTTATAATGTTCTGTTGCTAAAACACCGGTGTTCAAGAACACTAAAATAATAATCAACCAATAAAAAGCTTGCGACTTCACAGCTTTTCGACAAGCTCGTCTAGCCCTGCGATTAATTCTAAAAATATGCAAATCAATAGTTTTATAATCGACAAATCGTTTGATGAGATCACCAAATTGTAAAAAATATACGGAACTTGTCAAAATTTTTCCGCTTTTTTTTCCACCACGATTTACTTTGATCCACTTCATCACGTTCCACATTCGTCGATTTATTTTCATTTACATTATTATCTAAAATAATTCAAAATAATAGTATTGAAATTACGAATTCATTATTTGTCACAATAAATATTATTCGATTTAATGCTATCAGAAAATTAATAATTTATTAATTTTAATTTACACAATAACGAATATAGGATTTATTAAAATAATAATATTTTGATTATATCCATGAAAAAATTCATATATTTCTTGATAATATAATTTACTTTAAATCAGATATTGATACTTAAAATCAAAGCTTGCGCTAACGGGTAGTTATAAATTAAAATGGATAGTTGTAAAACCTACTTGGTCAGTACCTAAAACCCGTGAATTATCTGTATTGTTGGCATATTTATTACAATTTTTTTTTAATTTTATATTTTTTTCAGAATTTTTTCAGATTCATCACAAATGTTATTAATCATTAATCCATTTCATAACATTCATGATATTATTATAGGTTAAATAATGTACACAATCATATACACATGTATAAGACTATATTTAATGGTTAAAATAATCATAAACAATAAAATATATTATTATCTATGGTAATAATGTGTTAATTCAATATTTAAATCCCCACTATGATTATGTGATCTTTACGCTCGGTAATAATTATAACTTTTAAGATTATAATTTATCGAGTAATTAATAATGGGAGTGTACAACATAACTATATACAACTTTTATATTGTTTTAATATGGTTAACGTTTACAATAATTTTCATCGTGTTGCATTCGTTTTTTTTTCATTTTCATTTTTCATTATTTCCATGTTTGTGACGTATATATTTTATTAATATCTAATAATTACATGTTAAATCATAATTCTTAGTAGGTATTAGAATGTACATTGTTCATTTTATTAATACTTGTTTACGTAGTTTATTGAAAATGTACATCGATATCCAAGAATCCTTTTTATGGATTTATAGTAAAAAAGATACCGATACCTATAAAAACTTACTATAATAGATAACTAATAGATAAATATTTAAAAATAATTACTCACTTTGTTGATTAGAAGATTCATCTTTTTCATCTCCGTCAGGTTCAATATCTTCTGCTTGTGTTATCCAATCTAAATAACCTCTCAAATCTTCTTCAAGTTGTTGTTTTTCACGAAGTTTCTGAAAATCTCCTCTAGCTTTTGCCTTTTCTCTTTCTTTAGAAAATTCTCTACAATAGGGTTAAGAACGATTAATATAATAATTATATATTGCCTATTATATGAGGTATAGCTTAAAGAAAAAAAATTACATACCCGCTCAACACACCAAGAATTAGATTCATAACGAAAAATGCTCCTAGGATGACCATTGAAACAAAATAAATCCATTGCCATGAACTTCCTAATGAATCTTCAATCTAAGCATATAAAAATAAATTAAAAATTATTCTACTTCAATATTCCTAGTATAAATGTCACGCAATGAAAATTTAAATTTTACGAACTATTTATGAATGGAAATTAATATAAATCACATTTTGTATAAGTTATCATATTATAAATAGAGGAAAATACATATATTTATTATTTATATAGGATGACAATCAAGTCTCAATTGAAAAAATATCTTAATAATGTAATTCATTTTTTCAAGAAGCTTATGTAATACATTTATAACTATTTTTTAATTATTAATTCAAGAGTTAGTATTGTATTTACACTGTATAAAACGTCCGTCCATCCTTCAAGTGTAATACACTGGAAAACCGTTAACATAGACAAACCGAAATTGTCAAAGTTAGTTATTCCTGAATTCGGCCCATCCCAGTGACCGTGGCATGAATAATTACCAATGAGAGTAGCGCAATTGAATCCACTGATTTCGCCGTAATCACCTTCATCACATGGATGAGGATCATCCATCACTGCGACAGAAGACAAGTTCCATTAAACTATGTTATATACTGTGTGCAACTATGCATCGATAGGTGTTATCGTATGTCATTTTGTATAAAAGAAATATTAATAAATCTACGACAAGGTCAAAATGTAGAATTAGTTTAATTATTGGATTTGTACTGTACGGTTATATAATAACAAACTAATTTCAACTTAAAAGTATTTCTATAAAATATTGTTCATCGTGTATTATATACAATATTTTTTCATGTACATGTTCATCAAGTTTCTCATTAAAAAAAAAAAAGAAATATAATATACAACAGTTGTAGGTATTTTATTTGATTTATACACATATATCATACACTAACTGATGTGACACGTGTTTTAAAACCTAAAAAAATTGATACTTATAAATAAGACCTACAACAAAAATAAATCCTAGGAAAGGGCCTATTTAATTATCGCACACGGGCCTCCTATTTTGATGACTGATCAAGACCCGGATTATTTTAATACTCATGGCATAAAAACTATACCCCATCCTCCATATAGTCCAAATTTTGCCCCATGTGATTTCTGGCTATTCCCTGAGATCAAGTTTTTGGTCTGTAGTCGGAAAATCAATAGCAATCTAGAGATAATCATAGTTGTGGAAGCACGATGCAAATAACTTGAGAAAGAATGCCTGGTGTTTGTATTTAAAAAGTAGCAAGAACGATGGAAAAAAATATATTATTACCGAGAGATTTAATTTGGAAAATAAAATGTGAACATGAATGATAAAAAAAAATATTTTTTTTCTGTATGACGTTTATATCATTACATTTCGAACAGCCTACGTATAATTACATTGTATGATAAATTGGTAAGTGGGTAATTATTTTTGCTACTTAATACCGATTAATTATAATGTAATCGACACACCTGTGAAAAGTCTTTCAACCCATTATTTTTCTATAGCAATTTATACACTTGTATTAATAATAGAGCTTAGAGATGCTAGTGGAAAGAGTTTCTAAGTAGTTTTGGATATAGGTCATGCATAATTATAACAGATTATATTCTTGAAAGATAAACAAATAAAAGTATGTATCTTGGATTATGATCATAATAAGGATGGATTTACGATGTCGAAAACAAAGACGTAATTATGAGGACACAAACGACCAACGGTAAAGTTTAATGTTTACATCTCATGTTGGAATATATGATGTTAAGCAAAATATTGTGTTAGACTTTAATTTGGGTATTACGATCATAATTCTTGTTAAACATTAAAAAAACCGAGTGGGTAATATGTCAATATTCAATTCGTTCATGTTAAATTAAAATAAAGACAAACAAAACTTATGCTATCATGTGATGTACTTATATAGGTACCTGATATTACACACATGATAACACCTAAATAAATTAAATACATTTAGTTTAAATAATGTTTTACTTGTATCATTTTCCCAGCAGGTAGTGTGCAAAGTTCCAGAGAACAGTTCTAGTCCGATAATTGCATATATGATAATCACAAATATAACTAAAAGTGCAATGTGTAGAAGAGGTACCATAGCTCGTAAAATGGAATTTAATACGACTTGTAAACCTGTAAATTTTAAAAAAAGTACAACATATATTAGTGTTGTTAGAATATTTGAATCGTGAAAATTATATTTTTTACATTTTTAATTGTTTACACAGTTAAAGCTATCACGAATCATATTAAACGAATTTCAATCAAAATAAAATAATATAACATAATAAGATAATGTGGAATAGTTTTTTGTGTCTTATTTAATTTATTCCACGTATACATAATAATAATTACGGAATATAGTACAAAGTATTTTTAAATCTTAAATAATACGATTAAATAAATAAATAATCTATGACATTTTTTTTAATATTTGAATTTTAGCGTTTATTTTGAATAGTTTAAGTCAGTGACATCCAAATTTCTGTTATTTGGAGCTGTGTAAAAAATACTTAAAATTATTTTTCCAGATACATCAACTAACTTAACCGTCACATGTTTCTACATGAATATAACATGATTTTATTATATTCACAATGAGTGTCAGCACGTAAAAGATGACCAGTATGGTCAGGGCCAGACGTGGGTTCTTAAATATTTTTGCCACCTCGTGCTGTGTATAAAACACACTCCCTGTTATTACATTATTTTTTATTCATTTCTTTTTTTTTTTTTTTTTTTAATGTGAAATAATAGTTACTTAGTGAAATATTTTTATTAATAACTTGTTGATTATAATCTAAATAAAAATTTAATAAAAAAAAAGTATTTTCTTTTAATAATATTTAAAAATTAAAACAAGGTTTTAAACAATAAACTTGTGCAAAACTCAATTTTATTCATTTTAGTTATAAAGGGACCAGACCCAATAATAAATATTATATAAATCATAAAAATCGTTCGCCCTAAATAATAATACAAAACGAAAATACAATTGTCAAATTGTATAATTCACTAATAGCTGTGAGTTAACATTATGAAAAATATTACACATTAAATAAGTCGATAATTGGTCATATAAATAAATCGATTTTTAATTCATTTATAGCCTTCATAATTTTATTGTGGGGGGGGGGGGTTGATCGCATGATTAGTAACTTTTGTGTTAAAGTAAAATGTATTTTTATACCAAGGGCTATGGATATGGGAGGAAAAACGACTTCAAACCTCAGAACAATAAATTTTACCCACGAAAAGCTCATAAAAAAGTAAAAGGTAAAAAAGTTATTTAATAGAAAACGACGTTGTTTAATCGTTTCAAAATGAAGAATCGTTAAAAGTAAGGATAAAAATAATGCGGTATGCTATGGAGTATGCTTTGAAAAATTTTAATTAGAGAAAACGTAAGAACTTTTGCTAACTTTTTTTTTAATTTTGTATTTTTGACCCGATTGGGTCAATTAAATTAAATTTAATTAAATAATTATTTAAGTTCACACAATTTATTTAAATGAAACCCAGTAGTTTGATCTGGAAACAATATTTTAACAGAAGAATGTTGTCCTCGTATATTTTAAGTCACTGAAAGATGATTTTTCTTGTTTTGACTCAGGCCAAATATTTTACAACCTCTTCTGCGTTTAACTGTCGTCTCAATTAGGATTTAATTGCTTACAATGTAGCTATACTTGCGTTGGATAATCCACTCAGTTGATCATTATTGTCAAATTGACCCACTGACCGTAAATACGTCTTAATTAGTTTAGGTTTCATTTAAGTTCTTTCAACTCTGGCCACGGTAACTGTCAAAGTTAACAAAATTAAGTGCAATTCTAATGAAATATTTGGTGCAAAGTACTTTGGCTCTATTAAATTTTGAAGAAGTTTATTAGGACATAAATTAGATTGAACAATCGACACTAAAACCCTTAATGCGTTAGCTATTTCAATATTATTTATGTTAACGGAAGCATTCTGTCGATACAAGCTGTGAAAGCTTCCGATGTTTTAAATGTTCATCGGAAATGAGATTTTTTCTTCTAACATAATTAAATTTAAAAATTGTAATAATAAAATTATAACATTTATAGCAACGAAATTAACGAATTTAAATATTTAATGATCGGATGTACTTTGATTTTGATTTTTGATTATTTGCTTGTAACATCAAGAACGGATATTCTGGTTTTTTACCAAATGTACACAAACTACACACAGAATTCAAAATACATATGTATACATGTATATTCATCGGTAAAATTCTTCGGTCAGCTGTGCAAGATAAATGGTCCTCAACGTGACAAATTTAACGATCGTTCAAACATAAGTAGACTCTGATGTGGGCGTCCCAATAATTTTCTAAATAAATAATTTATTTTATTTATATGTATTATTATTATTATTATAATTATTATTGCTTTTAAATTGTTATTGACATTATTATTTTATTATCTTTCTTTCATCATTCATTTAAATTTATGAATTTAAAAAAAGAAATCTAAAAAATATGATCAAGAACGGTTGAAAATGTTTGGATTTTTTAACTTTATATAATATATTAAATTATGTTATACTGTATATTTATTTATGATTTAGTTATAATAGGATTATTATTAAAATAATGTTTATTTATTGTTTTTAAAAACTGATAGAAAACAAGTTCAAAGTTTTTTCAAAGCGATGGAAAAATGGTTTCGAGTATTAAGATTCTATTAGAAATGTATGTTTATAACATACACACAAACATATATTACTTTGATCAAATTGAAAGGTGAATTTTTTATTTAAATTTACTGGGTTTTTCTAATCGATAATTTTTTCCTTGTAAATAGGTAGTACTGTTAGTGCAAAATGTATATTTATATTTATACAATGGTATATGTATATTATACATTAAAATTAAATGAATTCACTCTTACGTATGAGTGATGGAATGTTTTTAACACAGCCATTGGAACCGAAATACTTATTTTTTATATTTGTTTTATTCTTAACATTAAAATCAAGCTCTACTTAAAATCTAAAAAAAAAATATTCATCATAATTAATTAATTAGTTATACCAATTATAACTTCCCACAAAAATAAAATTGAAAATTAAGATCTTAAATTTGAAATATGGAATATAGCAATATTTTTTATAAATAATATATAATATATAATATAATATATTATATATAATATAATATATTATATATAATATAATATATAATTATAAATAATCATCCTTTTTCAATTTTTTTATTTTTGATACAACTTTTAGACACTAAATCATCATCAAAAACGGTGCATTTGCATCCATAATAATTGGACGCGGTCGGAACTAAAAGGTCTTAAAACTTTTAGAGGAGGGATGGTTTTTATTACTAGCGTAAACTTTTTTTTCTAATACAAATGTACCTCATCATAAAATAAATGTAATCTCAAATGGGTTACAAATATATAAGATAAGATACTCGTACTATAATACAATATCATATATGTTGTATAACATACTATTTATTAATATATTACATTAGTCATTGCTTAATACCGTTTTTATAATTCAATGATTTAAATTAAACATTTTCATGTAAAAGTTTCATTTAATATCGAAAAATAATTGTAGTGAAATATCTTAAGCAAAATATGAAATATATAAATGCTATTTATTCAATTAATATGTCTTACTTGGCACTCCTGATACTAATCTTAGTGGTCTTAAAACTCGAAAAGCTCGTAGGGCTTTTACATCGAATCCATTGATTATACTTATGGCTCTATAAAATAATAATTAAACATACATGAGTACAAAATATGTATAAGAATGGTTATTAACATTCAAATTACCCCATTAAAACAATAGTGAAATCCAAGAAGTTCCAACCGTTTCTTAAGTACGCCCCTGGATGGGCAACAAACCCATACGCTATAATTTTCATTATGCATTCTACTGTAAATATAACTAAAAACACGCGTTCAATTCTGTCCTAAAAATCGTAGCGTATTTGTAAACAACATTGTTTAGTTTGTAGAAAGGTGTTGTTATTTAGACAAAAATATGTTTTACTTACTAAATATCCATTTATTGTGTTCGAATCGTTGCATGGGTATGGTGTGTACACTGCGAGAGCAATACAATTAGCAAAGATGGTCATTAAAATTAAGTATTCGAATGGTCTGAGTGCGTTTGTTAAGGAATATAGTAAACGGGAAACTTATATAATGTACTCTAACCTGGAATTTGTTACTGTAAGCATTGTGGAAGAACATGATTGTATGACATTGAATATTTTTTTGAACGAATTCAGTCGAAAAATAGTTTTAGATTATTATTAGAGAATTTGTAAAAAAATGTGTTGGAGCGATTTCTTGATATTCGAATTCCATTTTTAATTATGCCGGTTTAAATTATCTTTGAAATCATAACTGTTGTACTTGATACAATCCGTTCATATAACACTGTTCTACCGTTAATATTTTAGTATCTACATTAATATATTCATATGTTTATTTATAGGAACATTTTATGTTTAATACTTGCAAAACTAATAAAAATACAAATTACAAATTAATTTGTAAAAAAGGATACTTCCATTCTATCACGCCGATGCATAATTTTCGCAATGGATTTTTGAGAGTTAGGCAACATAATGCTCTTTGCGGTCTGTCGGGAAGCTGTTTTCCTGGCCTTCGGATGGGTCTTTTTACTACCTGCTTGGTCTGATTTGTGTTATTTGCCGGATTACTGTTGTTTGCGTTGTTGTTGGTGTTATTGCTGTTGCTATTAGCGTTCGCATTGTTGTTGTTATTGTTAGTAGACACCACATTAGGATCGGCATTGTTGTTATTTACAACACTCATATTTTTTTTTCAAACATTTATTTCGATAAAGACGGAGAATAATGATCACCTCACTAAAATCATATTCTACAGTTTTACCTGAAAATATAAAATTAAATATTATTAGTACGAAAAAGATTTTCTATCATTGAGAATCTCTATAGTAGTAATTGTAGTTAAAATATGATGATTTGTATATTTTATAAACCTTATTTAAGTTAACAACTTCGTAACATTACAAAATAATAAATAATAATTAATTCATTTTTTCAATTCATTGAGTGATTGAGTTAAACTCTTTTAAGTTTTCAAGATTATTAGGCATTATCTAATTTATATTTGTTAAGTTATTTATTTACTTTTCGTTTATTGATAAAAACATAAGTTAATAAATTCAGTAAAATTTCTAGGAAATATATATTTTTGGTTTATCATCAAATACCAAAAAAAAATGTACCTAAAAAACCCAACTAAACATTTTTTAGTGTAATGCTATTGAAGTATAATTTTTCGGGATGATAATACAAATAATTAATTTTAATATATCTGTAATTATGTAGAACTTATGATTTCCTACAGGGACAAATAAATATCCTAACACACTGAATAGACGGTAAATTTTAAAATAAACTTAAAATTGTCAGAATCAATGAATTGTGTAACCATCATAAATAATTATAATTTGAGTGAATTTATAAAAGGTTAACTTGAAAGACTCACGTGGCTGAATAAATACGGAGTGTATATATATTTACATACACTTGGGAAAATAAGTCTGTAGAATACTATTGATTTATCAGATTTTGAGAAAAAAAGTATTTGTTTGTACTGAAATTGAGTGTTTTAAGAACTGTTTTTATTTTAAATGTATTATTTTTATTGTGAATGCGTATTCAAAAATATTATAGTTAAATAATGTTCTCTTCGTGTTTTTGACATAAAAATAAATGAGACAAATTACCACATGAATATGTCAGAAATTATTCGTTTGTTCTATTACATTTAATTACTAATTAGATACGCTTTTTTACATACAATATGAACATAATTAATGTTAATATTAAATTTTGATAAAAAATTATATTTATATAACTATTGTATATTTGATATTTATATAGAATTTTAACATTATTTTCTAACACATTCTGTGATCAAAATTATTGATAATTTTTCGAATTAAAAATAATGCTGATTACATTTTTTTTCTTATTAAGAAATAAAAAAAAATCAAAAAAAGAGTTTAAAAATAAAAATGTACGATATTAATAACAAATAATCAATAGAAGATTTAAATTCATATCAGTAAGACTATGTTAATTTAATCGAAGGTATGTATTTATAATTAATCAAAGAAATTAAACATATTAAATGGATATATTGTGTATATTATTTATATACCTATAGAAACTTGAAATATTATTTAAATAAAATATTAAAAATACCTATTGAAAAATATTTACTAAACTAGAGAAAGAATTAATTAAAGAAAGAAAATGAAGAAGAGAATCTCAACACTTATGAATCATTCAACAATAAATAGCTCAGCTTAATCATTCGTGGAATGATTCATTATTTTTAGTTTTAAAACAACAAAATATTACACGTGAAATATTCTTAAACATAATAAGTGAACATTGCTACCATGTTGGCTATTTAAATATTTAAAATCTATTAATAAATACTGAAAACAAATATTATTAGATTATAGTTTGTTTCAGCGAACTAGCGAACTCCAATTTTTTTTTATTTTTTTTATTTTTTTGTAAATACATTTTTGCTTGTAATTCTTTATTTTAATAATGTAAACAGATTTGTTAAACTACAATTGCCAACTATTTTTATTTAAATGTAATATGTGTAATAGTAAAATGGAGAGTAGTATTCTATAGTCATTAAACCATTTTGCAAATATATTGTTTATTGGCAGTTTATAGGTATAAGTCACATAAAGTATGTCTATATAATATATTAGATTTTCCAGGTCTCGATTGATTACCAAGATCAATAAAAATATCCTAACTATACGGACAATAGTATAGATACAAATCTAAATTAGGTTCACATATTTTAAAATGAAATCGATATAACTGAAAACAAGAGCTTAGCGAAGTAATTATTTTAGTGGGAAACCAAATTCATTTGGTCAATTATTAAAAAGAATATGAATGCATAAACTTATAAAATATGATTTATTTTTTAATTGTACTATATTGTCAGTATTCTTAAGTCAATATTAAAATGTAAAACTGTTATTTATTCAAAATTAAAAATGATTTTTGGAGGATGAACTTATAACACATAAAGAAATTGATAAAACAGGTATTAAGTATACATTTTTTTTTTTTTTAATTTACTATTGCTTAGCAATAATATCTAACTTTATATTATTTATTATGTTTTTTTTCCGAGGAATGTAACCACAAACTGTTTAAACGGTTGTTCTCAAGTAATTATTTATCAACTATAACTTGCTAAATTAATGCTTATTTCAAGCAAAAATTATTAGAGCTGTATACAGTAAACGAGACATTCTATTCACTATAGGAAGCGTGTTTTTTTTTTTTATTCAGAAATAGTAGTTATATCTGAGACAATTTTCACTTCTTTACAAATATCGAAAAGTACTTGTTATTCAACCTGTAAATTTAACAGGTATACAACAAATTGTTTGGGTAAAAATGTCATTGCATCTTGAATTCCAGTTTCAGTTAAGTTATTCTTTGATATAGGGGGACTGAACAGATTATATAGAGGTTTAATTGTACCAATGCAACTGTCTAAATTATTTTTCATCAGTGAAGTTAGTTAATTTAATATAGATTTATATTATTTCCTATAAATTTTTTTAAATTATATATTAGCAGCTTTATCTCTATTATTATTAAGGCGATTAGATTCAAATCAGCGTCTATGATGAACTATAAACTCTTTTTCAATATTCACATTAAATTACTTCAAAAACTTAAATGATCTATTTATAAGATTATCCATAACATCTACGTCAGAATTAATAATATTTAATGATTTTAGAGTATTAATGCATCAGTTGTGTTAAGTTCAATCGATTCGAGATACTCAGTTAACAACTTCATCTTATACATAAAATTTTTCATAAACAGAATATTTACAATAAAATCTACAGAAATTAAACGTTTTGATTGAATTTCTGTTGGATTTATCAAATTTTTACTTGGCATTTGTTGTTTCATTTAAAATGTTAATAATTATCAAATAATTATCAAACATACTTAATTCTATCGTTTACGTTCTCGTACAATTTGTATGATAAAATTAATTTTTTTCATTCAATTTCTTTACAACGATTTGGCCGACTGAGGTAAGTTTAGACAATAGATTTTTAACTGAGGGGTCCGTAGATGGTTACTCGGGGGTCCATGAAGTTTTTGTGAGTTTTTTTTTAAATTACTCGAAAATAATTTTGTTTCGATTGTGTTTTTAAGATAACAATAAAAATATCTAGTCCGCATTCTGCCACTTGAACGACAACAATGTTTTTAATATCAAACTTAGATTACGATAATATTATATGCCATATAAAGTTACCGTTATTGTAAAATATTATATGACAATACAATCTAACGAGCATTTCAATTGAACACAGTATCCATACGGAAACTAAAGCCAGAAATCGATTGGACATTAAGGACGATATGTGCGTTGCTCTATCCAATATGATCCTAGATTTCAAGATAATATTTTAATCAAAACAACAGCAAATGTTACATTAAGACTTACTTTTAAACATAAGAAAACATGAATATTCACAATAGTTTAATATATAGTCTTAAATGTATCATTAAAAAATAATAATAATAAAAATTAGGTATATAAATTTTTTTTTTGAGGAGGGAGCATGATTATATTTTATACTTTAAAGGGGTCCATGGCTCACAAAAGTTAAGAATTTATGATTTAGGGAGAAAGCTACCCCTAGCCTTCTTTAGTTTTGCCATTGACTGAAAAGCATACAAAAATGGTTTTATGAAGTATTTAGCACTGAACAAGAACAGTTATCAATAATAATGAAAACGTTTTTGAACGGTTGATAATATTATCATTCACAAAAAACTATTGAGCTTATGAATTTATTGTATGAAAAAGTCATTACCTAAAATATAACTGAAACCGATACAACAGATATGTTGATTGATATATAATGTGAGCCACAGATAGCCGAGACAGATTTATATGAATTTGTTGGGACAAAATCGATTTAATCGATTTCTTATAATTGAAATATGTATTAAAAACACAAAATTAATGCATTATTATAATATTTTTATTTTTTTTTTGTTAAAAATTTTCCATTAAACTTTTCAAAAATTACAAATTTGCCAAATTCATTATTATGTATTTATAATAAACTATGATTTTTTTTTATTTAAATTTTATACTGTTATACTGATGTAATATCTGTTAATAGGCAGTCTAGGAGTATTATAGCATAAACTTGTCATATTCATAATAAGCATACAAAGAATGCATTTGATTTCTGGGTGTATATTCAGAATGATCTAAAATGATCTAAATTTAAACTTCTATTATTATTATCTAGACACATTAATGGTCATATATTATATCTGTAGATTCTGTTTATAAAGTAAGGGGAAAATCAATCCACTACATAAGAAGACCCATGGGAGGAAAAGATTATATCATCACCCTATATCCTAATGTAAGCATCCTGGTTTGTTCATTAAATTCATAACAATATTTTAAATTATAACGAAGCTATACATTAATCATTTAAAGAAACTCAAGTGCAATACAACAAAAACTGAAGTGTCATCCACTAACTACTACAGAATATATTATTATTAAACATTTTAAAAGCTTACTTGACCATTGATCGATGACATACATAAATTTAACAAAAACAGTAAATGTATACTGGAATAAAAAATTATAAATTATAATCATGATATATCATGAATTATCTTATTAGATATTTTATTCTTTCGAAAATTGTTAAGAATACATTTATTTTTACGAGATTGTATATAAATCGTTTCTTGATAAACATTTTTCATTAGGTTTCAAAGTTTTTAAATATAGTTTCTTCGTCAACGGTTAATGATATCAATTCAAAATTGTTTTGGAATGTGATGATTCATCGTTTTTAGAACTATAATGTCAATACATGCTGCCAAATGGCCGGCCTACTTCATGCGTAAAGTTATTTTCTGAAAGATATTCAACATTTCTTACAGTGAAGTATATTATATTCAAGACCACGAATAATTTACCTTGTAGTTTTATTTGAAGTGTATGTTTTATTGACCGTATGTATAAATATTCAAATAAAAAAAACAAAATAATGGTCTTTTGTCTACATGAAGCCATATTAGTTAAATTATAATATTAAGTATAAATAACTATTATTTTTATTAATGTGTAGTTTTTACTATGAATATACTGTTGGTATATGATAATATAATACTTATATAATAATATAATAATACGTATTACGATAATATAATTCAAATTTAACGATACGCAATATTTTAATTAATTTTGTATAGTAGAGTTTTGTGGTTTCTATTCTGTATTCTTTGTACTATTATTTATTAATCAGCGAAAAAGAGTTATTTCAAAATGTTTCAAGCACTATTCTTGCTAAAGTGTTCGTTGTAGTAATTTTTGTCGAAAGCAGTAATAAAAAACTACAATCAGGATTTTTGTCAGAAGTCTTGCACCAATTGATTAGAAATTGGGGAGGGAGTTTTAAAATAACAACTTTCATAGTATATATTTCGTGACTAAAGTGTTGGAATCAAAATAATTGTTGGAAATTGTAGGAAATCCATCTAAAGTGATGATATTCATTAAAGAAAGTGAAAAAAATAGTACTGAATATGAATTTCGTTCTATAAGAAGAGGTTAAAAAAATTATTTTCTGAATATCATATAATCTCTACTCAAATTAAATTTCATCAGAATAGATAATTAAATAAATAAAAATGTTAAGTCACATAATGAGCAATATACATACAGACGGACAGATCGAAAATATAAAGGTTCATAAAGTATTATAAAGTTATGATTTGTATGATTTTATTATTACATATTACTGAAAACATATTTTAATATCTGTATACTATTTCAGATTAATAGTACAGTTCTAATGAATTTTAAATTGTTTACTGTATATTATTATTGTTTTAATTAGTTTTGTATTATAAACTATATGCTTTTGTCAGGGTATTCATTAATTAATTTAACTTTATTAATGAAATATATCAGTCAATCAAATCAAAGTTTTAAAAAGCGTAATACAAATACATACAAGCGGGCATTTTAATAATAATTATAAATTATATACAAACAAATATTATTGATTTATGTTGCTGAACGTTTTCGCTAAGTTAAAATTAAATTATTATTATTATTATTCAAACATTTCAAATTTAATCAAGTACATTTCATATTACTTAAACTCATAAATATGAGGAATGTACTTAAAAGTGAATACAACATTATTAATTAATATTCCTAGATTTTGTCTTCATATTTAAAATTATTTAATTAATTATAATGAAAAACGCATATTGCATCAACTATAACTTGCAATAACGTCAAAAAAAAAAAAAAATAATAATAAGTTGAAGTATTTTAAAAAAATCAAGTTAAAAAGAAAAAAAAATGACAACTTGATTAAAAAAAAATCGAGTACATGTTTTGTGTTACTGTATACATGGTGATCTAATTAAATTACGGTTGCAATGTTGACCTGTAAAAAAAATATTATTAACACGTGAAGAACAATTTCTAGTACGATTCAATGAATAATTAATGATAACGAGCAGAGTAAAAATAAGGGTGTAAATATAAACATCCAAGTAATTAAAATTAAAATTCAGATCCCATCAGATACAGAATATAATATTAGTTACAAGTTTATTCATTCGATAAAAACGAATGAGATCACTTGTGCCATTTATATGCCGTAAACATCAGGTAAAAACAACGGTTACGTAACGAGAACAACGCAATATGATCGATTAAGCTAGTATAAGTAAATAGTATAAATTATACACATCTAATTATCATATCGACTTTATATAATTTAACGGTGTTAGCAATATCGAGAAAGAAATCTCTAAGTCATGGCTACGAACGCGCGTGAGATATTCGATGCTGAGGGAGAAAACGGTCGACGTTAGAAATATAATACGCGAATGAAAACGGGCAAACATGGATGGATAGTTATTTGTTATATAGTTGATTGTTGATCGATGGTACAAGAGAACGATTGAAAAAGTGATACGATATTACCGATTTCGTTGGACTGAAAAAGTTTCGGAAGACACCTTATGCTGGTCCGTGTTCGCAACAATCAGAGGTAATTTGACAGATATACCGGTGGCAATGTTTGGTTTGCATGTCAAACGCGTGACATTTGTTCGATTATTTTAGACGTATGCGAGGAAACTGTACACGGCGTATTTACGACGCGAGATCCAGCGGGAAAACGATGTTCAAAGGCCAAACGTGCCCGCTGGTTCGAATAATATCTTATCATTTACATCAGTATGGTACATACATACCTACTACAAATGATATGTACAACTACAATGTGATATTACGCGTTATTATAGATACATTTTAGACGGACGAATCTCCGTTAAAAGGTTGTGTAATGTGATGTGCAGTACGCGCGCAAAGGTCCGCACCGACGTATCGGTTGACACGGGAAAGCATGTGCACCATGAAAACCATTCGTGGAAACTAATACGCAACGATCCGTGTAAACATTGTAACAATAAGAATAATAACATTTTTAATCTTCGTTACCTCTTAAGTCCCGTCGATACTGTTCAAGATGTATCTATATACGAGACGGAAGGGAAGTTCTGAGTTTCCGAGTTAAAAGATTTCATAGAACTCAAATACAAAAGTCGGGGGTACGCACATTTTTATAAGAGGAAACCAAGTGTAAGATTTTTCCGAAAAATGAGAAGTGCGCTCCGCAGCCGCTTGCACAACCGTTATTAATCTGTTTAAACGTATAACATGTAGTAGTATATTATATTGTGCAACGTCAGCGGAAGTCATTCGGAAGGAGAGTCGAAACAACCGACATGTAGTGTTTTCACTAAAATAACTTATTGCGACGCGGACTGTAATGGTGCAATGTTGCACAGCCATAATGTTAACAATATCAAAAAATGGAGAATTTATCAGAAAAGTAACTTTTCAAGTCCGATCGTATGGACTTGGGTATTGCATATTTGAATCGTAATGACGCGAATTCAATAAAAAAAAAACCTCGGGCCATTATTAATTCGTCAATGATCTACCGTGCGGTCAATGCGTACTACGCGTAATGATTATGTTGTTATACGATCGCTTTTACTATTTACTAAGTGAGAGCCTACCATGCTTCGGACGGACGTCGTGTCGCTTGAGCAGTGAAGTTTCGGTTGAAGGTCGAGTGATCGGTCCAGCCGTACGGGGACGAAGATGATGACGACGGAGAAAGTGATGTCGGAGACGACGGCGACGGTTATGTGCGCGTTGTCGGAACGAAGCGATATGGGGTGGCCGACGACGGTGGACAAGTACGTCCGAAGCGAGTGGAAGGTACGCTGGTGGTCCGCGTCACGGCAGCGGTGGCGGCGTTCGAATGTGCGCGCGGGACGGCCGCGGGAAAACTGATAATTGTATCGGCGTCGTCGTCGTCGTCGTCGCCACCGCGGCCGCCGTTGTCGCCGCTGCTGCCGTCGGGTGGCGGCGGCACCAGAAAACGAATGACGGCAGTGTCGAAAAAGTCAACGGCTGCGCGCAAATCTATGTGGTCGCTCGGCGTACAACAATATTATAAGTCATAACGAACGGTATATGTTCATCGTAATTTTATTAATAACAAATACGATCGAAAGAGGAAGCGAGAGAGAGAGAGAGAGAGAGAGAGAAATTAGTGCGTCAGTCACGGCGATCAGTCAAAAAACGAGCGGGCGACGGATGGGAGAAATGAAAAATATTACGAAAATAAAATAATATATTAACGGTTTGTGTGTGTGCGTGCGTGCGTGCGTGCGTGCGTGTGTGTGTGTGTGTGTGTGAGTGCGCGTGTTTGCGCGAGAGATGTCGAAAGAGAGGGAGAGAAAGAGAGAGAGAGAGAGAGAGAGAGAGAAATACGACGAAGATTTTCTTCGGAAGCAGAGTGAAAAGACAAGAAGAGCGGAATGGGAAAAAAAAAAAAAACGGTCGGACGGTACGCGCGCAACAGTGCGCGGCGGCAAAGTTCTAAATAAAACTATCGGGTAGCCGTTAAGACGGCGGCGGGCGACGGCGGGGTGAACGTTTGCCGCTGATGCTGCTGCTGTTGGTGCTGATGTGTGCGCGCGTAGCGGTGGCCCCGTTTACCTCCGTCGCTGCCACGGGCTCTCTGGTCCCGACGCCGCCGGATGAGACGGCCGGATCGCAGTCCGTCGGCACGCGCGCGGTGTGCACCGTCACGAAGCGTGCACGGCGGCACGCACGCGCGCACGCCGTCCCTCGAGAGAGAAAACGCAAACGCGCACGCACGCACGCACCAGCGGGCGCGCGCACCTAGCACGCGCGTACGTGCACACGAGTACCGGAGACCGCTTTTCGCGCACGCGCGTCCCGTTCGCACCGAATTCTATTCGGACGTCTCCTCCGTCCGTCCCGTATAGCGTCCGCTCGACCGCCGCTGACGCAAGCGCGAAACGTCCGACCCGCCGCCGTCCTCTCCGTCGCTCCGACCACGTTCTGGAACGGCACGTCTGGAAACGGACGCGGTTCTTTTTCCTTTTCGCTCTTCTCATTCCCATCCCTTCTCCGGCCACGGTAAGTGGCCCGCCGGCGCTCGTGTCGGGAATTAAACGGCGACGTGTATTAATAAACTCCGACCGGACGGTTTAAAAATACCGAGCGCGCGCCGCCGCCGACGACGTGTTCCTTGACGCGCGTACCTCTGCCCGCTACTACCTCCGCCGACGCTGCTGCTGCGGCCAAGTCGTCGGTGGCTATTTTTTCCGTCTTCTCTCGTTGTGCGGACCCTTTTTTTTCTACACGGTTCTCACCGCGGTGGGCGAGGGGGAAGGCGGTGGAGGGGTGTTACGGTTTCATCACGCGCACGTTTTTTTTTGAACGAGGAAAAATATGATCTCATTCGCCCGGCGGTCGATTTGTATCTCGATTTGTTGTACCTCACTTGGTTCGCGCGACAGTAGAAAAACAACGGTCCCCGGAACGCCGAACGAATTACTTCTGACAATGGTTTTGCCCACCGCAGATTAATCTAGTCGTGGTGCTGTAACTGAAAAACGTTGACACGAACGATTCGTTCAAAATTATCAAATTGATTCATATTGAGAAGGTGAGAACGATTCGTTCAGTATCGCTCAAATGACTCCGGCTGACTCGTTTCGAACTTCGTACGATTCACTAATCATTTACTTATAGTGCGACAAGTATTGAGTCTTCGACAAATGATTCAATTGTTCGCTTATCAATTCATATCACCCTAGGATTTACCCACAACCGACCAAATACTATTTCGACACTGTAGAGTAAAAACTCATTTTGGCAAAACATAAACCTTAATTATATATATTATATAAAAATGCATTTAACATTGAATTATAGGGTAAAAGCAGTAGCGATTTTAACGGGAAGGACGATAGATTAACCACCCCTCCCCCATCTTGAACCGTGTAAAAACTAAAAATATGAATGAACAAATCGTTTACTAAAAATCCTTTTTGCGATAATTTTGTGTCAAAACTGTTTACAAAAATGTTTGCTATATAATTTTTTTATTGATACCTATTTTTTTATGTTATTCCATTGTGATATAAAAATGTTATAGAATTTAAAATTACTTCTCATGTATCAAGCAATAGGAAATAATTAATGCAATATGTATGCAAACTGTAAGTATATACAAAAATATTTTCGCCCCCCTCCCTTGTGGCTTCTCAAAAACCGCCACTGGGTAAAGGCTATAAACCTACTCAAATATAGATCCGTGATAACTATTGTAATCAATAATTTTATAGAATAATCAATCATTATATTTTTTTATTCGTAGCTTTCTTAAATCCATAATGTACAAATTATGTATATTGTAAATTTAATTTTATCATATTAATACAGTTATTTAAACTCTTACTTATAATGAGTTACTTGGAAGTGACTTATTCTGTTCAATATATCATGATATTTTTTTAATTATGTTCGTTGGAAATAAAAATATATTATTATTATTATTGCACATTTCCATACATTTTAATAAAATCTTAAGTGCTTCTCATTCATTAGATAATATAAAATATTAGTTGAGTCATAAATTCAAAACTGTGTTTGGAGTGTTTAGTTATAAAAAAAATACTAGTCTGTTGAAAATAAATTTAAATTAATAAATATTTTGTCTTTTAGTAATATAGATATTTGAGTGGAGCAAAGCTATATCAAAGCAATGTGTGCAAATAATTTAGGGTAGAACTCCCGACAATCTGATCAAATGTAGCATCACTATACACATAACACAATATACATTTAAAATGCTCTAATTATTAATTTACTTTCATATTAGTGTGTGAAAATGAAAAAAAAGCGATAAATTGATTTTAGATAATTAATTATGATATTACAAAGATCATAAATTAACAAAATGAATAGTAAATTCAATTTTACGAGTAGTTCGTGATTCTTTGAATCAGCATATGAATTTAAATTTAGTGAAATTAGTGAATCAAATGCAAATCAGTGAACGAATCATAAGAAAAAATCGTTTTGGTGAATTGAATAATTTATACGTTTCATTTTTTTCATCCCTAGGCTGTACTTAATGTGTAGTGTGAGAGGGCGGGCGCATGTTTCTCGCTATTAGATATTTTACAGATACATTGGTGAATAAGAGGGAGAAGACAGGGCTTCTAGGTTTACGTCTATAATTATACACTTATATCGCAATAAATTAAAATTACGTTATTGTTATTGAATAGCGATAATACCGTACATAAAAAAAGTCCCCAAAAAATTGTTAAAATAATATGGACAGTATTCGCTTGATTAAAATTAATATATCGTGTTCTTTTGACTTTGTGTATACCTGACGATGAATTTTTAATTCGAAACCAGTCGTCCTTTACAAATATAATAATACTCTTTAATACTCTAGGCTAAGCATTTATTTATTTCCATATACATACACGTATATCAACTATTTGTTTATTTATTTTTATATTAAAATTAATATATTTTAATGTATTTTATTATTTTATTCATAAAAAATATTTAGTTTACTATATTATTGTTAATTTATTATGTTTTTTTATTTTGGATCTATCCTTGTAATATAGTTTTCATTTTTTTTTTTTCATTAATTTATGTTTGGTTTAGTATTTAACCAAAATAATACTACAAAAATAAAACATTCTGATATGAGAAAGAATTAATTTTATGATCGATAAATTCGATAACTGTAACTTTTTTATAAACGTCTTCTTTATAATATTTATAATTTTCAGCTATAGTTTACAGCTTTATTATTATTCATAATATATGCGAAGAAGTAATGTTATTGATAAAAATAATGATCATACCCATCACTAACTCTCAAAAATTCAAAACTAATGACATTAATTTAAAAACAGAATAAATCGGCATAAATATCGTTTTTTAGTTTATCCAAAACAAATTATTACCGGCTCATAATTAAATGAAATTCATAAGAGTTTATTAAAATTAGACCAATTAACCTTAGAATTTGTTTTTATAGTTTTTGGTAAAAAATATTGACAGCTGCGAAGTGAGTACATACGTGTATTACTAAAATCTTAATACGTGAAATTACTAAAATTATTATGTATCGGTCGGTGTTGGCAGATGAATAAGAAATTGCCTATATTATGTTCCTTGTAAAATCGAATAGCATGAGTGTCCGATTATCCATAATTATTCTCGTTGATCTTAAAATTTACATTCAGATTATCACGATATCCAGTTACATTTAACTATATCATTTTTTATTAATGTTTAATATGAAAATATAATTTCATAATTTTATTAAAATTCTATATTTTAAAAGAATTTTTTTTAATGAAACTAAATTTATTTTACAAAAATGTCCTTATAAAATTTGCCACTTTTAGTGTTGTAAAATTATCGGTTATTTATTTGTATGTAAGTACTTTGGTAAATTATATTAGTTTAAGTTATAAATATTTTTAAAAACTTATTTTTGGTTCATTTTCTAATTTTTTTTACCTAAAATAGACATCAGAGTTAAATGCTATATTAATAACATTTCATAAAAAAAATCAAAGGATTATAGTTATCTTATAAGCGGTTACAGTATCATCAAATAAGTATAATTTACATATTTATATATTAATTTGAAACTTTTCAAGTAGTCGTACAAGAATCGAACCTCGAAAGAAACACGGTTTTCTCCAAAATAAGTTTGCACGTGTAATATTAAGTCAGATTTCCGAAAAAATATTTTAATGCACACTTCACATTAATTTGGTTAGTTACACGTACTCGTTTGTAATTTTAACTTAATATTTTAACCATTACACATGAATACGAGTTAAAATCTAAGTTCACGTATATGTACTTTAAATGTATTAATCTTAATAGTCTTTTTTCAAACACATATCGTACGAATTCAGTTAATGTCCTTTGTAAATCTTCCTATTAAATATTAATTTTAATATTTCTTTAAAAAGTTTAGACGATTATAATAATTTTTTTTCACTTTAAATACCTTTTTAGGTTTATCGATTTTTTATTTTCTTTATGTTATAGAAAACATTTAATTCACGAATACAATTTGATTTTGCCAAAATATTTGATATTAGCCTTTGAAAATTATAAAACTGTTAGTTTTTTTTTTCTCAAAATGTTTCTTTAAAGACGGATTTTATTTATTTACATACATTTTTTATTGATATAAAAAGTTCGTTAGAAAAATACTAGTAAGGCGATAATTTCAGCTGTTGCAGTATTTTATTATGTAAATTATATTATTTTTAAATATAATTAAAAGCAATAAAATATATCATAAATAGATG